ATACCTACGCTCCATTGAAACCATAGGGTTGTCATTTTGGATGTTTTAGAAATTGTTTCTTTTACAAAATATAAAAGGAGTTCTGACATTATAAATCAATCGAATTGTAATAACTAATTAACAAACAAAAAAAAAATACATACACATTTATTCAGACGGTGATATCTACTTATATTATTCTAAAACACCACATGATATAGAATAACATATGCGAAAACTGGGCAGTTCTGGAAATATAGCATACGTACAGGTCGAATTGATAACCTTATTTTTTTTAAGTCGGTTAAAAATCGGTTAATCTCAGCAAAAGACGATAGTTTAACATACGAGAAATAGTTTAATATTGACACAACTTGTAAATCTTTGTTTTTATGTTGATCTTTAACTTGACATTACGGCATAACTTTGTACAAGTTTTGACAGACACATAGCCGAAGAGCGCACGAAACGTCCAACGTTTCGTGCTCTCTTCGTATCGGAGGCGTGGTAGGAAGGCACTGCATTTAGGTGGCGCGCTCATGAGCGGCTGTTTTTGGGTGTTTATCAAGCATTTTCGGGTGGGACCGTACTATGTTTCAACCCGAAAATATGCATGATACTGAAACGGGTATTTAAAAAAAATCTAAATCTAAAAAAAAACTTATTTTTTATTTCACATAAGCCTACTCCTTTCCTTAATCTTTCCTTCATTTTTTAAATAAAACGATCGCGGAACGTGTAGCGTCACCCTTCGTCTCGACGCGATACGCGTTACTGAGCGTCCTGTTAGGTCCACTTAGGCGGCTCGTCGGTGAGCGTGTTTATGTGTGCGTGCGATTTCGAACGCTTGTAGGCAGTTTCACCACTGTCTACTTATATTTACACTGTGCTCATGTGTTCATAAGTTTTTAGACAAACTATTTACTGAAAAACTAAAATAAAATGTTACTGGCTGTTATTTTTTTAACGATTTTGAATGGAATGTATATTTTCTCGTGATGGAGGGAACGAAACAATGAAGTGGCTGTCATTTCGCTCTTTTAGGCGGAAAAAAATGTGATGTGATGGTTTGGTGGGGAGTTTTGTATGAAGGTGTCAATCCGCTCTATTTCTGCCAAAAAGGTGTAAAGAATGAATGAATGAATGAATACTTTTATTGTACACCATAATTAAACAAAAGGAGAATCGATACAATTTAGTGGTACAATCGGCGGCCTTATCGCTAAAAAGCAATTTCTTCCAGGCAACCGCAGGTTAGACTGGACTTACTTAAGTAGATGGGCAGTAGATGGTGTCTTACATGGCGAGAAAACATGTTTTCATATATAAACATACATACATACACACAAGCTCATACATAAATATACATACATAAATATGCATATATACATAAAATAATAATAATATCATAATAAATATAACAGTATCTAAAAAGTATACAGTAGAAGTAGGATGAAAACGATAGCGTATTATACTTGAAGTGATAAATAATATTCTCTTAACATCTTCTTAAAGCAGTGCAGTGATGGAGCGCGCATTATTTCTTCCGGCAATGCATTCCACAAGCGAACAGCCTGAACTGCGAATGACTTATCAAGGAATTTTGTGGAATGCATCGGCATCTGTAATATTAAGCTCTCTGATGATCTCAACGCGCGAGAGTGTGAATCGCGAAGGAACTTGAAGCGTTCCTTAAGACAAGTTGGAGAGATAGGATTGAACAGAATATTGTAAAGCAGGGAAACAATATGCGCATTCCGACGAAAACGAATTGGCAACCACTTGAGCTTAGTGCGAAAATCACATATATGATCATATTTGCGCAACCCAAATATGAATCTAATACAAAAATTTTGAAGTCTCTCAAGTTTATTTAATTGCTCCTCAGTTAAGTCTAGATAGCTGACATCAGAGTAATCCAGAATTGGAAGAAGAAGGGATTGTGCGAGCGCAATTTTAGTGGCCACTGGTAAGAAATTACGCAGCCTCTTCAAGGAGCCAGCTGCAGCAAAGATTTTACGACTCGTTTGCTCGATCTGAGATCCCCATGTCAGGTTTTTGTCTATGATTATACCTAAATTTCGCACGCTGTCACTTGGGGCTACAATGATACCATCAAACATTATTGCAGGTAAACATGACCACTTAATTTTATTTGTCATTGCAGGGCTGCCAACAATAATGGCTTGGGTTTTCAAAGCATTTACTTTTATGCCGTAGGACTTACTCCAATCACAAATTTTCTCTAAGTCACGGTTCAGAGCATTGATCGCAAAAGATAGTTGGTCAGGACAAGCTTGGGAATAAACTTGTAAATCATCAGCATAAAGGTGGTAGGATGAAACTAACTGGCGTGAAATAGAGTTGATAAATATAGCGAAAAGTAATGGAGATAGTACGCCACCCTGTGGTACCCCAGCAGAAATATCACACCAAGTTGAAAAGGTATCCTCAATGCGTATCCGCTGTAAAGGTGAAAGCCAACAATTATCAGAGTGACATTTTAGAGCCCGTGGTGAAACTCTGTCTGATACGTTATTTCACAATAAGGATTAGGTTGTTCAGCAAGACTCGGCCCATCCCATAAGACAGACCCAACAAACAGAGAAGATGCGACCCGAGAACGAGAAGGCGAGAAACATATCACATTCTCGTGTCTCGGGTGTTCTTGGGGCTTCACGGCGTTTCTCGGCGTGAGTCTGTTGGGCCTATGGGATAGACGTGTGCGCCGCGCCGCGCCGATGACCGACGCCGCCGATCATGACACGCCGCCGCTGACCGGTTCGAAAGACCGGCGTAAACGGCGCGGTATGACACGAACTGGGAGTAACATTCGCTCGGTTGCTAAGCAACATAGTGCATTCTGTGCGGCACGTGTTAATTCCATTTCGTATTTCCATATTTAGTAAAATTTTAATGAATACAAAAGTAAAGTCAATGAACAGACGCAAACAAATAAACAATCGAATCTTTATTCTTTAATTACAGCTGTCAATCTTGAACAATTAATATAGCACTCGTTTTCAAGATAAAGTTGGCAGAAATAAAAAATTCAATACTTACTCTTATTTGTCTACTCTAGCTAACCCGCTGCAAGCACACCTAGCGAACATGTATTCTTTGTAGCTGGTCTTACTAAAACGATTAAACGATTGCGTCTAACTGGGAATAATATCAATAAAATAATTTCTATACGTGATAACTATTAGGTTGGGGAAAAAGTCTTTTCGTATATAGTATGCATAAAGTTGTAATAAAATCTTTCTGGCTATACCATTTCTATATGGCTGGTTGCGGTATTATTAAAAAGTTCAAATTTTAAAGAAGATTTCGAATTCAAATTAAGAAAATATGTGATTTTCATTTGTTTTTCTAACTGGTGATAAAAACTGGATCACGTACGACAAGAACATGCGAAAAAAGTCGTGGTCTTTTTAGACTATGGCGAAATCCGGGTTAGCTGGCAAAAAGGTGATGCTGTTTGTATGGTGGGATTGCAAGGGTATTATTCATTATGAGCTGTTACCGTCAGGCAGCATTATCGATTCTGAAATCTACTGCGAATAACTGATGAGATTAAAGCAAGAAGTTGAGAGAAAGCGGCCAGAATTAATCAATAGAAAGGGAGTAGTTTTTAAATAAATTAAGAGTTTGGCTGAAAGGTGTTAATACATCTGCCGTATAGTCCTGACCTTGCACCTTCAGATTTCCACCTGTTTAGGTCTCTACAGAATTTTTTAGGCAGTGTCCAGTTAACATCACGCGTGTATTGTCAAAACCACTTGACGCGGTTCCTTGATTAGACGCCCCAAAATTTCTATAGCAATGAGATCATGTTCACCTACAAGATGGCAAAAAGTTATCGAACAAAATAGTACCTTCATATTGTTGTTTAACATCATTATGACTACGTTACATAATTTTGAAGAGCATAGTTGTGCCATATTTGTTACTTAAAAGGTGTTATTAGTTTAAGTAGCTTTTATATTTGTTATGTCAATAAAGGCATTCTGAATTATTTAAATTTTCCATCATTTGACATAACGACGCCGTTTACGCCGCCGCCACTGAAATTTTAGCTCCACGCCGCCGCCGAAGATTTCGGCATCGGCGCACATGCCTAACTATTATGTTGTACTCTGACGCATAACAGTTCATTTTGCAACTCGCAATAAGAGCGAGTATTTACGTGTTCTCTATAGATAGGTGGTATTGCCATATAATTATTACGACACTTAACTAAGGTGGTATTTTCTCATAACTCCTTATATATTGCGAATTTGAAGAAATCGATCAAAAGAAACGATGCCTAAATTAACCATGAAAAGAACTGGATTAAAAAGTTAAAATCGCCAAAAGTATAGATAGATGGTCTTGGTTCTTAAGCTTCGATATCAATACAAATACGAAAAAGTACAAATAGAATATGAGTTGTTTATTGAGTTTTGAAAATTAATTTACTTTTATACATGCATAAGGTTGAATTCTCTAAATCCAGATATATGTAGGAAGGGCGTGACGTCACGCGCTGTTTGCAGTCACGTGACAACGATAAAAAAAATATTTGTTTTTTCATAATTAATTTAAGGAATATTATAAATATAATAAGTATAAAAGTGTGATTCTCAGTAATAGCATATTAGACCACTTCCAGAAAAAATGTGTTATTTAGAATCAATTTAATATCAAATGTTTTGTGGAAAACAAATCGTGCAAATAAACAATATTTCCGGGACTTTGTTGACATACTTTTTCTTTGAATGTAATTAATTTTAATTGATAATTTTTATTATTTGTGACGCCTATACAAAGAAATATATTATATATAACTGAAAAACACTGGTTTTATTACCAATATTTCAAATTGTATAAGGGTACCTTTTTGTTATCAAACTTCATGCATTTGAGGCACTTCGAAGCATACACAAGTAGTCATACATACCTACCTACGTCATATTGAAATACAGGCAACGTTCCCTAATGTGTATTGTATCGTCACAATCTCTATTTAAAAAAATATTAATCAATCATATCTGCTGTGGTACTCATTAGGTACCTAAATACAGACTCATTAAGACGTTATCTCAGATTAATCCGATAATTTCCAAATCAATGCTTACTTTAATTTTAGTAATTTAGTGTTATTATTTTCACTGTGCAAACATCAAGATATTTAATGTTATTAAGTATATTTAAAATGTTTACGTTGCGTTTGCTTCTTTTAATTTTCGTTGTCGACCAAACATCGGCTGTCTTTTTCGAAGATTGTGGTAAGATCGGGCTTGTTAGATATTAGAAAACTGGGTTAGGATAAAAAAAAATAAAGACCTATTATAGGATAGATATTCTGCTATAAATACAGCATCGAACGTAACGTTGAACAGAACACTATAACAGCTTTAAAGTTGCAATCAAATAGACCTATTTCAAAAGATAAAAGACGTTTCATTTGATTGAACTTGTAAGGTGGCGTTTGACGCTGTATTTTATGGACCATTTACACGAGGCCAATAGCCGAGACTATCCATTAAGCCAGTCGAGTAAATTTAGAAACCGTCCTATTGCCTTGAACTGTCTTGAGGATCTCCATTTATTTACACGAGACCAATAATGACAGGTTTACTGGGTTATCTACGCTACTGACCTTATGTAAATGGTTCATTATAGTGTAGGTACCAGAGCTATACTAAATAAATACTAAACTAAATAAATTTTGTTTAAGTTGAATCGAAAACGTATCGAAACCGAACGAAACAACAGTTGTTGTTAATGGTTTTCCTATTCTTCAAAGTGACATACGATACAATTCCAGTTCTATTTTAGCTGGAATTGTATGCTGCGCTTTTCGCATAGTTCTGTCAATTTCATGTATACAATACGGATTTTCGTCAAACGTTATTTAAACACAAAGACATAAAATTTTAGTTGACGTTAATCATGGAGCGGTTTGTCATAATTATTTTTTTTTTATTTAGGACAAACCTAGTTAATATTTTTAAGAGTTGAAAGATGCTTTTAACATTTTTGGGCGATATCTTGTGTTGGACACCATGACCATTTGTCCCGCAAAGCGACCGCATAACTCCTCTAGCTAAAACTCTACTCATAAAATAGGACATCTTAGTCATGTTGCACGGCTATTTCATTTAATTTTACTACTTCGACGTGTACTTTAATAACAAAGAACGGCAGCTAAAGAATGATGAATATGGATTTGACAACAGTGTTTGTAACTTACGGCCAATTACACAAACGTCTATTAAGGTTTAATAACTACTTTAAGCTTTGATGAATGTTTTAAATTTGAAAATTCGAATAGGTAATGTGGCATTAAACTAATGAAAATTTTTATGAACGTTTGTGCAACTAGTAAACTAGTAATTTATCAATCAAAACATAACATGTCAAAGAAGTGAAATAAAACGAAATATCGTCATAATATTCGTTAAATGTCGAATATAAAATATCTATATTACACGATAGGTATTAAACAAATGTCACCACGGTTGCCTATCAAAGTAGTATGTTTATTGTTTTACAGAAGTCTTAACTTAGAATCACCTTTTAGTCGATTCGGGATAATATGACACATTTATAATAAGGTTCCTATTATAGAGTTATGCGCAGAAGCCAGACCGCAGCTGATCTTAATGTCAAAGCAGGCAGGCAGGCAGACATACTAAAAACGTATTATAAAAAATTGGGTGAGACTTTATTATGGCTTGAACGGCAGGCAGCAGCGACATGGGTATATATCTCAAATTCTTAACGCGTCACACAATGAGCGTCTTTTTGTGTTCTATGCAACGAACGTATGTTTTTTCCGAATATTTGACCGAATAACAAACATACAATGAAGCCTTGTGTTCCCACACAATAAATTTAAAACGAATTTTTGTGTGAGTACATGTGAGATCTGATTGTAAAATATCTTTAGAAACTGGTTTGCCCAAACAATATTAATTGGAACATTGTTAATAATAACATTTTATTGTTATTAACATGTACATACCACTTTCATGTTATAAGATTACCAATCTTAGTAGGTACCTACATAAATTGTGATGGCGTCGTCGTTTATGTATTCGAAGCAGTTTAATAAGAAGAATATTTTTTTTAATCGTTCGTTTAGCTAATGTAGATTCGCTTGTTTTGGGTTTCTTATATAAATAGAATGTAGTACTTCCAGACGTGTGGAGATCATTAGCTTGATAGGGAGCTGTACATACGTAATGTATCGATTGGTAAGCGAATATCTGATAAAGATAATAAAAACAACGCTACAACAGTCGATTGAATTATTAATAAAAAAGGGAAACAGAAATATTTTCTTCATTTTTGACCAAGAAGTGGAGTAAAAACATGTAAGAGTATCTACGTCTGGATGCGAGCTAGTTATTCGTTTACTACTTACTTTGCTTTAATAATATCATTGAACTTAACTGTTACTTTCATCCATAGGTTCGACTTTCCACTTAACTTCGGTTTACATAAAAGGATGCCGGATGCATCCACCATGTTTCGTCACTGTGGGCGAACAAGTATTAGTCGGTATGCAGTTTATTGCCGGTAAGTATACCTACCACACCATAAATCATTAGATTAAATCTGTCTCAATCTATCTCATTGCACCTGATTGGTAATCGATCTTTCCATAGCTGTGGATTTTCTTTTTAAATTTTTATTAAATCCATGATTTTATGTGAGTTTTCTATCAGCTATATGCTATTCTGTTAAAAATTCACCTCAAACTCGACTTGAGCTTAGCGCTGTCGCGGCATAAGCTTTGATGAAATAAAACCTTTATTAACTTTTCAAGTATGTTTATTATTTTTATAGCGAACAGCATGGTTTTAAAAGTAGGATTTAGAAATTTGATATCTGATAACATTAGCTCTCTGCACAGTGGCTTCGTCCGGTTGGTCTAGTTTTCATACTTCTAAATCCAGATATAAGAAAATTCCGTATAAACTTCAAACCCCTATTTCCCCGTGAGGGGCACGGGTTAATTTTGTAAAAATTTCAAGGCTGCATAGTTTTGGTTGTGCGTTAACATATTAGTCAGTCAGGTAAACCTTTTATATCGACGGCAGCAAAGAACAAATCAACAACTGTATTTTACACTTCCTTGTGTAAAACACTTTACAATAGTCTAATTGTATATAGGCACATCTGTAATAGATCGTATGTACTTCGATCAAATAACAGTTGCCAGTCGCGCTTTGACAAGAGGGCTTTTGCTAGATTCAGATATGAAATAAGACTTGTTTGCTGTGGCTTGTTATTAGTTTCGAATTATTACTCTGTTTATGGATTTTTGACCAATTTTTTTTTTATTTTTTATTTATTTTTTAAGCAACAAACAGTTATACATTACACATAACAAATACTTATTTGTCAATATTTAGTAGCTATAATACACGAACAGCTTTTTTCTTCTTAGCTCTATCTAGTTATCTATACTAATATTATAAAACGGAAAGATTTGATTGTAAGTCTGGACCGATAAATTCTTTCACCTACGTGTAGCTACATCATATGGGTATACATAGGCTATAATTTACGCGTGCGAAGTTGCGGTAAAACAGCTAGTACTAGTACTAAATCTGTGGCTCTTCTGTACCGTAATACTTTGGAATAAAGTTAATATTACTATGAATGTTTTTTATTGTGAATTCAGATTCAGTTTCTACAAAACTCGATCAGAATGTTGTATTGAATATCAACCACGTTAATCTACGCCCTGAAGTCACTCCAGGTAAGCTTTCATTCTTCTTATATTTCAAATGAATATAAAGATTTTTGATCTCTATAAAAACACTATCAAATTTTAATTTTATTATTGTCCTTTATTCTATGCTATTGTTGATGCGTTTAAATTCTACGAGTATAAATGTTTTATACGGCAGTAATGGGAACGAAAAATTTTATCATATGAATTGTTTCATAACGTTTGGAGATCTATACCTGTGATGTATGTTTATATGAGGTCTACTAGCTATATCTTTTTTTCGTCGAAGAGATACGTTAAGCACTAATGCCCTCTGGGAGGTTTGGGAATCTACATCCAATCTTGGGAAACTACTTCGTAAAATACCTAAATGGTTTCGTTTTAACAGAACAATGCGAGTCCATATTGTGTCCGGTAGTGGCGAATGCTGTTTCATCTCTTACCAGTATTATGTCAGTGCCAAATAGAATGGCGTTGGTAAGTATGCATCCGAATATGGATGGTGTTGGATTTTTTATATTATAAAATTTTTGTTAGTTATAATTACACGACACGCTTTAAACAATTGTATAAATATTATAAATCTTAATATATATATACATATTAAGATCATGACGAATATCTAAGCTTTACGAATATATAATCTTAGCTTTAAAAAATATTAAATAAACTAAAAATATTTGCAAAAAAATTGTCAAAGAATAATTAAATTTCATTAATTTTGCATTCACAATGCTCTACTGAAAAATATTTTTAATGAAAAATGTTTAAAAAATACACTGTCCCTTTCACTCTGAGATGGGATGGGAGGTTCGACTCCCCAGCCAGGGATTTGTAAGTATTTTTCAATAAGAATATTTACTAATTGACTTATAAAAATATTTAAAAAACTTAAACTTAAGGGTCCTTAAGTCAAAAACCGACCTATAAACTACCTACCAATGCATACCATATCACATAGTTAGGTATATTTTTATTAGAACATTTCATATCTCCTTTCATATACGTAAAATTGGATAATAGTTTTATGTAATTTCATTACCTAATAGTTTTACCAGATTGCCGTCATATCGGTCACTCCCCAGTATTTGGTTATAAAAATTGAAGAGAGAAAGATATAAAATTTCTTTTTCTCTCTCTCTTCTATTTCTATTCGTAACTCTCATGAGAAGATTTTGAATCTCAGGTATAAGTTAGCATTATTTTTGCAGAAATAATTCTAAGGAACCTATGTTTGGCCCAATTTATTAATGCGCCCTAATAACTGAATCTTATATTTCATTTTTACACGTACCTAGTAAATCTAATTTATATTTATAAAAGATACTTAGTTGGATACAAAACTGAACTTTAGAAAAATATATACTTTGCTTCATCTATAATAAAAATCGGTGCGTTTTTGACTGAATAATAAAAATATGTAATATAATGTAGGAAGAAAAAACATCTAATCCAATTGTATGTTTTCAGAAGTTAAAAAAACAATTCCATCGCACTATATACGAATTAATATTCAAATTGGTATAGATTGCCTTTGTTTGACAGCGACTTAAAAATGGCAATGCCCTCGGCATTTAAAAAAAACGAGGTCGAATGATTAGAATAATAAATAATATAGAATAAATACACAAAACAGCAAAATGAGAGAAAAATTAAATATTTGCAAGAACAATGTGAGGAAATATTTTATTTCCAATTCCAGAATATTTACATACACATTACAAAATATATAGTTTGAATAAATTTGTTTAATCAATCTTTAACCTTACTATTGTCATCATGAGTAGGTAGGTATCTGCATGTTTCTAGAAAATGAACAAAACGAATGGTGTAAGAATACAAATGATTATTATATCTGTAATATTAAACTAACTTATATATAGTATAGAACAAAAGCTCTTTCCGCTGTAGGTATGGACGCTGAGATCTTTGAAAGTACACAACGGGATTTAATTCTTCTTTAATATACAGAGAGGAAGGTTTATATAATTATAATAATTAAGCGAAAGCTAGTTACACATATATAGTGTTATTTATTATTAAACAAGGTTTACAGTTGCAGTAAATTTACTCTGATACAGCACTTAGTAGGGTAACCTGGTCTAGGAGTACGCACTTAAGGTTTAAACTATTCTAAAAAAATAAAAGTCAAGTTTAGGAAATCAACTAGGCATTTATTACGTTTATTATTTAAACATCTTTCATAAAGTAACATAAAAAAGAACAAAATAACGTTTTATCACTTAAAATAACAGAAATAATAAAAAATGGGAATTGCGTACTCTTACAAGTACTATTGGATAAGAGTACGCATCTACGTCGATAAGAGTACGCAGCTCTTGCATTACTTGCAGAGATCGCAAATGAAATTTCCCTGACCCTCATAAGTCGTACAAGCCTCATGCCACCACTCAAAACATTTTGAGCATCCTATCCAGTCTTCTGCGGGGGGTCTACATAGACTTCAGTACATGCTGGGCATCTCCAAACCTTTTTTTTGGGCATTTTCTTTGGCACTTTAAAAGGTTGTTTGCCCTTTTTAGGAAGAGGTTTTGAATTTGTTTTTGGAACAGTCTTTGATTGAATCTTCGGTACATTTTTTGGTACTTTCTTTGAAACCAAAGACTCCTCGAGAGCCAGCTTATACGGAGACCCACTCAAAATATCTGACTTTGCTCTTTTGCGGTTCGATCTTGAAAGATATTCAGCTCGTGGAAGGGGGGCTAAATTTTCAAGGGGTATATGAGGCGATTCGATGCTTTGAATAGGAAGACTGGCAAGTGGTGTACGGGCTCTATCTATCTCAATGAACGGCTGAACAGACGACGTATCATTTGTTGAGCACGAGGGCTGTGAAGAATTGCTGGGAGCGTTATTCTCATGGTCAACATGTTGTACCAAATCATCAGTTGGTTGGGAAATCCGTGCTTCATTAGATTTGGCCAAAGGCATATTTTCTGGTAGATCGCCAGTTGGTTGAGAAATCTGTGCTTCATTAGATTCTGTCAGTGGCTTTTCTGTCACTGCACTGGCCAGGAAATCTTCTTCTCCAAAAATGTCCGGGTTGAACGGTTGGATTCCGGATATCTTGAAACTCTGGATGCCATTTGCCGGAGAAGTTGCTTTAAGGTAAGCCGGAGTCAATATTTGTGCAATCTGATAAACGGTTATCACTCGACCGGGATGGTTACGCATCCATTTTTCACACTCTGATGCATAAAAAATTTTGAGGCTGTTATGGATGCAGCGATCGAGTGGTTGAGTTTTATGACTGCTGTGAGGTGGGATTGTCAAGGCATGAATGTGGTTTTGCCGGAAGAAATTGACCGCGTCTAACGTGCAGTGTGACGTGTGGTTATCTAGGATTAATAATACTGGATGGTCTTTGCTAGGCTTTGCGTGGTCTTTAAAATGAGATAACCAGTCAACAAACAAAGAACTGTTGATGTAACTCGAGTCTGACACCATTCCTATAGAAGAAGGTGGGGCTCCATCCAAAAGCTCAGCTTTCATACGTTTGCGTGGAAATATGAAGGCTGGTGGAATAAAATTCCCTGCAGCGTTGACCGCATTCACGAGTGTCACATTGATGCCACGTTCAGCACTGGAAATCTTGTTGACGCAACGCTTCCCTTTAGTAGATATCACCTTTGGAGCTTTATTTGGCACTGTGGAGATTCCGGTTTCGTCCATATTATAAATTGCATGAGGAGGGAACTTGTAAGTGTCTAGCAACCTCGCCAGATTTTCAAAATAGCGATCGCATTGAGGCTTATTAAATCCTATAGCATGAGCAACGCTGGTGGAGGTTGGTGCTCTTAACGACAAATTTGGGTGCCGTTTCAAAAAAAGGCGGAGCCACTCTGTACCAGCCATTTCTTTTTCTTTGTTAAAACGATGTTCTAATCCATTCTTTTCAGCAAAATCATAAGCAATTTCTCGTATTTTTTGAGTGGTTAATCCATAGAACATGCTATCTACTTTTTTGATATAGTTACAGAGTTCTATTTCCATTTCACGGGAGAAAGTTTGGGAGTATCTGCCCAAACTTGAAGCTGGAGACGATCTCTTAAGTCTCTTTCGCAAAGTGGCTTCATGCATCCCCAAGGATTTAGCCACTGACCTCTTCGATTCGCCTTCCTCGACGCGAGTTTTAGCGTTGAGCCACTGCTCTGGAGTACAAAGTTTTCTTTCACTTTTTCTTTGACCTCTAGACATCTTGTGTACAAAATTAAAAATTACCTACAAATTTCATATATTTTTATTTAATTATTAGGAACAAAATAACTAATAAATACAGTAACTAAAGTAACTTAAAAGCAATTGCGTGTAAGAGTACGCGCGCACTCTTATACGGTACAGAACTGCGTACTCATACACACTATACCCAAATCGGAAACGAACGAAACTCAACGCCATCTCTTGGCGTGAACCGGAATTACGTGCGCTGCATGAGTTAAACATTGCCTTTGAAAACTACACAGTTTACTTCGTTTTCAGAAATTAATTACATTGATATCTTAAAAATACTTTCAAAATGGTAAAAATAATTAGTATTTTGAGCACAAATCTTTAAACTTACGTAATTTCTATGTTTTCATCCGGATTTGATTTTTTTTTCGCACAGCACTTTTTCACACAGTTGAAACCAAAATACGACTGATGTTAGCTGATTATTGTGACGAACTTCACGGCTATGAGTATTGCGTACTCTTATCGGATGCGTGCTCTTAGACCAGGTTACCCTATTACTCAAAATTCATATTATTAAACAGAGATAAGTATCTGTTTTCGATGGTTAACCAAGACAAGATTCTACGAAAGTAATATTTACTCCTAGAAAGTAGTAGGTTTGCCTATTTTCTGTATTATATGCATTTGGACTAACACTAAAATTGCAATTTTAGCGTAAATTTACTCTGACGGGGAACCTTGTTTATTAATGACACTGATAAGGTAAATGTGTAAGAAATCTATCTATATCATTTAAGAATAAACCACTCTAGTCAGTGGAGTAATTTTTATTGTTCTATATCTTGTTGTTAAATGTTTTATCTAGATAGTCAATTGTTGTCAAAAGAAATATTTTCATTAATTTAAGTCGACTGTCGGATTCTGCGACAAAAGTATGAAACGTGCGATACAACTATCCATTGTTTTTTTTTTCTTCAGAATCAACGTGGGCACCTGCGGTGGAGAGTTTTCGACGAGAGGGGGCGACAAGTGGTGTGCTATTCTGTGCTAGTTCAAACACAAAGCCCTTTACAAAAAATATTACGGCAGTTGTCGTCGTGGCACAACTCCCTTGCGCCTGCGAGCCACCCTATTGGCTGACCTCAGTTTTTTCCAAATCATTTTATTAAATTCAAGTTATTTTGATGCATAAGTTATTTTCCAGAACAAAACTATATGCCCCTATGTAAACACTTGTATTAACAATTATAGAGAAAACATTTTGTAATTTTCTTAGGCAAAAAAATGGATGTATAAGTTTCAATATTTTTTTATTTACTCAAAAACATAGCTGAGACATTGCATGCGTAATCAGAAAATAACCATATAACGACGGTTAATGATTCAATTTCCTCATTTTGTAGGTATATTCAGACTAAACATCAAACCTGATGGATCCTTTGTGAAGTTTTTAATTCACAACGGATCCACATCTGACGCATGTATCTAGTTAGTATTCTAGTCTAGGTTCTTAGAAAGGAAACATGTGTGCGTGACCGTTTTAGTTTTCATAAGCTTAAAAGTGTCCATATTTTTATTGTAATTTGAAGTTCTTATAACAGATGTCATAAAAATATACAGTATTCAATATTAATTTCTAAAATCTCCCTCAATATATTTTTAATTACACGAACCTATGTTTACATAAAATATTTTAGCAATATTCATTTTTTCAATTATTAATCTGATTCTATTAAGCAAACTAAATAGAAGATGATGTGGTTACGGTCCACAATTTTCCACTTTTAAAGATCTTGTATCATAGCACTATGAACTACAATATGTTTTCTGAGTTTCTTTAATAAAATCCTTCTCACAAGGTTCCGGCATTCACAACTCCATCTAGCACCACCCGTAGTGTTTTGTAATAATATTGTCTTTATTTACTTCTTCTAAATGAAGATTCATTTAGAAGAAGTAAATCTAGTTCTACGGCATTCAAAAGACAAATTATGTATTTGATTTTATTATTAAAAAGCGAATAATTTTTAATTAATCCTATAAAAAATTATATATAATAGGATACAGCATTGTTCAAATAAAGCTTAGTAAAATAGTGTGCATACAGTAAATACATCACAATTCCAATTGTAAAAAAAATCATCATCTATTATTATTAAAATACTTATTTAAATTTAACCGAATGACAGAGTTGATAAACGTTTAGATGTTAGAAGATATAAGTGTTCTATTTTAATATATTTTTCAAATAATTTTCGAGCCAATTTTAGTGGATGTTACATGAAAGCTTAACTAATTAAGTAGCCTGTGGCAGGTATTTTTTTTTCACGTATACTCGAATAATACAAACACGTTTTGTAAAAGAAACCTAATTCTTAAGGAAGGTCGATGCGTTATTTGACGCTATAATCGCTTACAATATTATATGAAATTTTGTCTATCCAATTAATTTATCTATTTAACCTCATTAAAAATATTAGTACCCCAAGACACCTCACTAAACGATGGCCTAGGATGTACAAACGAGTATTAGGCCCCTTAAAGGTTTTATTTTTGATACTAAGGAAACGGTCCCTGTGTACAGTACCTACACTTATGGCATTATATCAACTTGATATTTATTTATTTGATATAAATTACTATGAAATCCTCGCGGGTACTTCGAAGCACACGATGTCGTCACCATTTTCTTGGATTGACCAATGTACCTTTACTGCAACGGATGGATAGACCGAGTGGACAGGGAACGAATCTTTATACATATATTTGGTACCAGCTTTTAGGGGACACGATGCCTTGTCACCGTTTTCCAAGAAAACTTTGTCACAAATTGAGTTCCCATCGACACCCAAAAACGGCAGAGGTATTCCGAACACATCAGCGACGACGTGATTTTTTACTTGAGCTAAGTCTTTATCTGAAAACAGAACAAAATCATCATCAGTCTATTAACATAAAATAACTAGACACCGAATAGAAACTCAGGTCGATTTAGTGATTGAATTAGGGTTGACGCGCAGATATTAGTTTTTGCAGTTATTGAGAATAATCAGTTGGGATTTTGTATATTCTCATTTCAGAAACCGGGGGTTTGAATATTATTTTAATTAAACAATTTAATTGATCAATTCAAAATAAAACTCGTTCAAAGTAAAAATCGAGAATTTAAATAAAATTCGAAAAAGTGCTCACATGACATGTTACGTGAGCACGGGCTTCTCCTGAATTATATCTAAGGTATCATACGTTTATTCAGTGGCGTAACTGCAGGGTGGCAAGTCGGCAAAATTCCACGGGCTCCCAGCTGGAAAGGGCCCCCGGTCAGACGAGACTTCTTACTCATGACATTTATTATTACGCAATTAGTAAAAAAAAATTGAATACCCGATGAATTTGCCACGGGCCTCAAGCGGTATAGTTACGCCACTGCGTTCATTACATTTTCTGCTGTCTCTGACATCGAATTGACTAATCAATTGGAAATGGAAGAGTGGACATTAACCGTCCACACTGACTCAGTGTGAATCGGTGAGTGTTAATATTAATGGTTGCAGATGCAGTCGGTATTGGGTCAACAGCTTAACGTGCCTTCCACAGCACGGAGGAGTGCAACGTAATAAAAATTTTGGAGACCTATTCTATGGCTGGCTCTTGCGTTAACTTTTATTTAATAAAAAGTATTTTAACTAAGAAAAACAAAGTCAGATTCTTACACACTATTCATCATAATATTACGTACGTACCAGGCACAAAACTCACGGTGATGTGTTGATTAGTGCCTTTCTTCAGGCGACACGGCGGTTTTTTGCAAGGCGACAGCACCACATTTTCATTTAGATTTTGGAATGATTTACCTTAAAATAAAAAAACATTCATTGTAAATTATGTTATAATATGAAATATGATCATATATTTTACTTAAGTACCTAAGAAAAAGAGTATAATGCATACTCGTAATTATCTAATATAAACGTAATTTGTAGATTGAAAAATAATAAAATCTAAATTATTTTTCTATCTTATAGCATGATAAAACAAGACTGGTCGCCCTGCTTGCCTAAAGTTATTATACAGAAAGAATGGATTTTCTTGCTTCTTTCTAACAAACAACAATGTTTTTAGTATCGGAAATACAAAACAAAATTATCTTTACATGGATCATATTAAGTTATTATAATAATATTTCCGCAAACATGTACTACCTAGTATAATACTACAGTCAGTCACACAAATTACCTCATAAACCAAACAAAGATTCTAATCACGTGCGAAGAACTGCGTGCTCAGAAATCCAACGAACTTCGAATTAATATAAATAAACGAGGCTACTTAACTCGAACAAACCCAGTTTTTTTATGTAAAGCAGCATTGTTCAAAAGAATCGACAGTGTTTATAATTCAAAATACTAACAAAGAACCGATAACGACGTATGAATCTCATGTATACTATTTTATCATTAAATAGTTATTATTTTAACTACATATGCAGTTCATTCAAACATATGACCATGGAATGTACGAAATAAATGTAAAAAACGTTAGAAAAGGATATTATTTTTATGTCATGTTCAGCAACTGTTAGTTTGCTTGAAAAGACATCAACGCGTGCGTGACTAAATTGAACACTTGCATCCAGGAGTTGTACCTACCTACACTTAACATTGATATTATATATATATATATATATATATATATATTTATAGAAAAAAAGAACCGACTTCAACCTCAAAATAAAAGTGATAAAAATACTTATCTCAAAAGCGACTTATTCAAGATAATGCTATTGAAATCGGGCGGTTTTAATTTAAGTGACAGGTGCCCAACTGAAATAGTGTTCTACTTTTTATAAAAAAAAAAATTATTCCATGCTTTTTAGTGATATCGTTTTTTTTATATAATAGGCAACACTAAAAATATTAAATACTAGCTTTTGTCCGCGTGGTAAAGTTACTTTGAGCAGCATTTCTAACGAATATTTATTAATTATATCGTGTAAAATACCTGAAAAAAAAGTCTTATCCTCTTAGCTTATGCCCTTAGGGGTGGAATTTATCAAAATCCTTTCTTAGGGGATGCTTACGTTATAGTATCTTTATGCATGCAAAGTCTCAGCCCTTAAAATTGACAAAGTTTCATACAAACTTTCATCCCCTATTTTATCCCCTTGGGGGTGGAATCAATCAAAATCCTTTTTTAGAGAATGCCTACGTCATAGTAGCCTTATTTATGCAAAATCTCAGCTCGATCGGTTTAAAATTGACAAAGTTTCATACAAAATTTCATCCCCTATTTTATCCCCTTGGGGATAGAATTGATCGAAATCCTTTCTTGGCGGATGCCTACGTCATAACATCTACCTGTATGCCAAATTTCAGCCCGATCCGTCCAGTGGTTTGGGCTGTGCGTTGATAGATCACTATGTCAATCAGTCACCTTTGAGTTATATATATTTAGACCATTTTCCCGCGGTAAAAAGTAGCCTATGTCTTTTCTTGCGTATTAAAATATCTCCATACCAAATTTCATGCAAATTGGTTCAGTGGTTTAGGCGTGATTAAGTAACAGACAGACAGAGTTACTTTCGCATTTATAATATTAAGTATAGATTGATGTAAATAAAATATTGAACACCGTGGAAGTTTTCGAATATGAGATTTTGTTTATTTGCTCGAAATAATTTTTTCCAATAATTATATTCACATTATAAAGAGGAAACACTTGTTTGCTTGTTTGTTTGCATTGGACAGGTCCCGAAACTATTGGACTGATTTATAAGTCTTTCATCTACGGGAAGCTACATAATACACGTTGATAATAGGCTATAATTAACGCAAACGAAGTCACAAGGAAACGGCTAGTTTGATAGAAATTGATTCACAATTCAAGAAGAAATCGATGAACACATCTATCCTATAAATCCTTTACTCATTGATACCTACTATCTATGATTTTCATAAGAAAATCAAATCAAAGAATAAATAGTCGTTAAATATAAAAAAATCTTCCTTTTAGATTATAAATAAATTATAAATATGCAATCTTTTGTATTTTTAGCTGAAATGGGCCATGTCATACATAACATATCATCTTTATATTTAGATGATATCTGTTGGAAGACTTATTTTGTTGTGTCATAAAAGGAAAACTACCGATTCGATTTCGATAAAATTTAAATGGTAAACCACCTCGATTCATCAATCGGTCACAATTGATGAAAATACCGGTGAACATACATCGCCGTCGAACATACCTCCTCCTTTTCGATTTTGAAGTCTGTTAAAAGATATTGTGCTACACTGTCTGTCCTACTGTATCCTAACTATTTATATAAAACAACAGTAAAGTAAGAATGGAGATAGAGATATCGGAAATGGTTTTTTCTCACCCGCTGAGATCTGAGATGAATTTACCATAGATTTATTTTAAATTATGGAGTCTCAATACGTCAAGTGCCGAATTTGCCCAAATAGTGGCGGGCACTAGAAAAAGTTGCTAGCACAAAGGGAAGAAATCAGCATGTTTTTAGTGTTCCGTAGTAAACAGTAAACGTCCGCGGTTTAGCTTAAGCGCGGTTTTTTTGTTAGATCTTTCTAAAGCATTGGTGCGAAGACCGTTTTTCGATTGATAAGCCGTTTGTGAGTTATTAAGCTTCAAAGAGCTAATTTTCGTTAGAGTCAAGTCCGCCCCCACTACCAACTAAACGGTCGTTAGTAAAAATTCAAACGTTACGGCTGGAGTGCCTATATGTAACGAAGTTAAAAGGAAAACTATCACACTTAAATTGGCTTTACAAGTTTACGAGTAATAGTCGACCACTTGCATTTAAATTTCGAACAACTCCATAGAAAACAACAATGGACAATGGTACGGAACCAGCGTGTGCGAGCCTGACTCGCACATGGCTGGTTTTTTCACTCCAGGCTTCTCTTGACCTTCATATATATGATCTATCGTTATTTTTTTTTAATGTTTTGTTTAAAAAAATAGACATTTGGGTGTAGACAAACTCGAGAAACGCTTTGTCTACACTCATTTGTCGGTTGCTCGGGTCGAGAGTGAGATATTGTATGGGCGCACCCGAGAAAAGTGACATTTGAGTGTAGACAAAACGTTCTCGAGTTCGTCATGCTACGCGTGCTGGTAGCCTGTGTACTCATTTACTTGAGAGGATTAATAAGGGCATCAAGTGATCTTAATTAGATGGTTTTTAGATGTTATCTTAAACTGTTTTTTATTTAAATGTTTGTTTACTGGATAATAAATAAATAAAATAATCAGCATTGTATATAACGTAAGAATTAGAAGATCTTACATATAGGACTGTAATATGTATGTTAGAATCAATATTCAGACTTAACTGTATCGTATTACTTATATATAAAATTATACGTCCAGCAACAGTCTAACAAATTAAAATGGATCGATGATTAGTTTTATAATTCCATTGGTTTTGAAATCAGTGCTAAAGAATATATATGAAACCTGGTTAATTATTTTGTTCATTAGTTTGTCTTTAATTACGATATATACAATAAATTATACTTTTATTTTTATTGTATTGCAGAAATAATAGAAATGTGATTATATTATGTGGGTAATTTACGTAATGTATGTACCCAGGTACTCATAGACAAGGAAGTACAACATAAGATGGAATAAAATTAAAGTTAGTATCTTTTTGTGAGTGGTATTACGTAGTATATATAAATAACTTTGACTTCATTGTATTTAAGAACTATCGTAAAGACATTGAGAAAACTAATTTCTGACTTAAACATTTCTCTTAAATAGTTTACCGCATATCGTAAAAAAATAAAAGAAAATATACATAAACCATGCATTGTCTTCTAAACTAAACCTGTAAGCAAAATTTCAGCTTGATTGATTTAAAATTCAGTTACAAGCTTTGGCGAAGCCAACACTCAAACTCCAAACACCCAAATACTCTGCATGTTAAAAACTTGTAAAAACAGAGTCAAGTAAATCCATACTTAAATAATAAATGGGAGAAGCGTTTGTTTGTCGTTACTGTTTCTTAGGATATTATTGGGCAACACTGATCAGTAACTACATTTTAAAGAATTCGTCTAACGGTCCGTTGGAAAAACGTCCATTAAGGGTTAATGACGTCTTTAAGCTCTAATGAATGTCAAAATTGTATCAGTAAGGTCACTTTAAAGTATCGAAATTTTACTGTTTGTACAACTGGCTGTAAAACTTATAAATTGAAAAACTACTTATTGAATTTACAAAAAAAGACAGAATTGTTAAGTGCGCTAAGTGTTAAATACAAAGTGGCAATTCAATATCACTGTTTGAAAAGATAGTAATCATCTATAACGGGTACTGAGTATGGTGATGAATTAGTTTAATTATGGTTAATATAAGAATTTCAGTTCACTGTAAGACATTTCACAAACACGATTTTTCTTCTTCGAACAGATTGATTTTCCATTATATTTATCATTATTATAAGCTGGAAAAATTGGTAGTTCTATGCCTAAATACATGACAAAGTTACCTTATAGCTTCCCGGTTCTATACAATAAATCCATTTAGTGATAGTGATCTATGTAAAAAGTCGCTTACTTTTGTTTTTTAGGTAACTGCATATAGTGTAAAAGACTTTTTTTTTAAATCTAAGTACTTATTATTTATCCTTGATTTGTTAAAACTGTTTAAAATTACTTTTTACCTACTAATGTGTACCTACCTATTTGCATTATTCGTTGATTTCCGCGTGCGGCTATTTAATATTTTATAAATTTTATAAGAATTATTTATTAGGAATAGTTTACTGCTGATCTTGTTATAAAGGTGAATTTGGAAATTTTCTATACATTATTTCTACAATATTCACATATATGTTAGCTGAAATAAATAACCACTGCTTAAAAACATAATCTTTGTAAAATAACAATTTATTTTAAAATATATATGATTAAAGTATACTGGCTGTTATAAACAACCGGCTCGTAGAAGGCGAGCGGCATCGGTATGATCCGACGCGTGCTAGTCGCCCGTGACCGTGATTCGTGAGTCTGTGATGTAGTGAATATGTACATATACTATATATAATATGTACATATTTACCTCAAAGTGTAGGTACCTATGATAAATCACTGCGTGGCGATATGATAGAAGTTATGTACATACCTATTATGACGTCCTATGAACATGATTGAACGCATATCCAATAATTACAATAATAGTTCTCGATTGGAAATGGAAAAATTAAATGGACTGAATAAAGAAATATAGTAAGTAATTTTCGTTACTTTACACGTAACTGACGTAAAATTAATTGTAATATTAAATAGGTACCTGTTATTTGCGGATTCAAAAGTTAAATCTATTTTCGAAACCTACATAAAAAGAAAAGCTTCTAAAAGACGATAACTTGTTTATTAATATTCGTAAATAAAAAAATTCAAGTACGTTTATATTTCGGGAACATTTTTTTATTATTTAGATTTTTAGTCATAGATATTTTATCTTGCAACTAGTATTATTAAAGATTTATTTATATTTTTTCGTGTTTCCATTTAAGTTTTGGTTATCAAGGATCGATTTTGTTTATAGATTTCGGTAAATCCGCCCATTGATTTTGTCTGCCCATTTTTCTGCCATTGCCACATTTTCTCAATCTCGCGCTACTTTGTGTTAATGAAAAAAAATTTATTGAAGTGCGAAGCGCTGTCTACTTTTTTGATTCGAACTTCATTCCCACTATGCTAAGATAAGTTCAACCCGTAGAACTAATAAGATTCCAAGTAGTACACTTATATAAAAAATTAATTATTTTGACGATTCAACTACTGGGACTCGTTGTTCCCACTAGTACATCTGACGGTCGCTTATACATACGAAACCATTCCCTGCAGGTGGGACGTAAATGGGCTGGTGATGATGATGATGATATCGTGTAAAATACCGAATTTAACGTTACATGATTTTTTATCTTTGATATTCACGAACTTCAATACAAACTTTTATTCAATATTTCAACCCTTTTATCACAATAAAAAGCAACCTATGACCTATCTCAAGTCAACTGTATTTTGGTGGGTTAGATGTGAAAGCGTAACAGACAGACCTACTTTTACATGTATAATATTAGTATCAAATGATTTTACGATTCTCCTTCATAATGTAACTAGAGTAGTAACTAAATATGATATAAATGTACATAGTAAAACAGTTTTCGCATATAGACTTTTATGTACTTATTTAAATTAGTATACCTATATATAAGACAAATAAGGAACAATTCGGGAAAACTAAAGACTACCTTTAGCTAAGGAATCACATCAAACCATTCACTACTCAGACGTTGTCTGAAATTAGACGGTAAACTATTATAAATGTCGAGCGTGGAATCCACCGAATTATTAAAACTTATTGGTGAGCGTAAAAAAAATGAGTTTTTCCTATAATTTATGTAACAAAACGGGACACTGAGACTGTTTTGGTGTCTTATACCTTTTGTTGGAACTCTAAAATTTATAAGGGAGAGAGGAGTATTGGCGTATCCATAAGAGATTGTGATAATTTAACAGTTTCATAACCTCTGCACCTGCAGTGTAAGTACTTAAGAAACTTCCGTTGTATTGTTTCTAACCTATCAATATAATTTCTATACTGTGGGTTCCATATCTGCGAGCAGTACTCAAGGTAGCTACGCACGTATGAACAGTATAGTATTTTAGCAATTTTCATACTGGAAAACTGAGCACATGATCTGATAATAAAACCTAACGATTGGTAAGCTTTTTTAGTGATACAATCAATATGTTTTTCATATGTCAATTTGCTGTCGTGAATGACCCCATAGATGTCGTATTTCATTAACTTTCTTAAGTTCAGTCCTGTTAAGCTAAGAAAGTTGGTTATTAGATTTTTACGAGTAAATGAAATATTATAGCATTTGGAGACATTCAGATCCAACTTGTTATTTATACAGTATTTTTCGAAGTTGTCTAGGTTCTGTTGTAAGAGATGACAGTCATAACTACATTTTATTTATTTGAAAAAAGAAAAACGTCCGCATATAATAGAAAACGTGAGTGGGTGAAGCAGGCATTAATATCGTTAACATAAATATTAAAAAGCAACGGCCCAAGTAAAAAGCCTTGCTACACCGGAGGGTATAGTATACCAGTTCTACCCATCGGCAAAGTTTAAATACTTAATGAAAATGGCTGACTTAGATAAATGTCACGCCTGCAATAAAATTGAAGATGTACAACATTTGCTGATGGAGTGTATTAGAAACAAAAATGAGAGGGAGTCATTTATGAAAGAATTTAAATTAAATGTTTTGGATATAGGATTAATACAAAGTATTTTATCAGAACCTAAGTCTATCATTGCACAAAAACTATGTAAATTACTCGTAAATTTAAGATAAGCTGAAGTAAATGTAAAAAAAAAAATTACCTAGTGAAATATTGTTATCAAATGAATTTAGATTTAAGTATGGTATGATGGGGTTGGCATGTTCAAAGAATAAAAACCCCTTAAAAATTAAAAGAATTAAAAAAAAAAGTGTACCCGTTTAATGCTACAGCTTGTGTTCGGTTTTGTATATACGAAGAAAATCATCTATACAAATTACCATGGATTCCCGCGGCAAGAAGCTTTTTTAAGAGCAGCATATGATCTATTCGATCGAAGGCTTTGCTGTAATCAGTAAAAATCGAGTCAACCTGACCGACAGTCCCCATACCAGATGTTACGTAGTCGGTAAAAGATAACAGATTTATTGTTGTTGAGCGATTTTTAAGAAATCCATGTTGCTTTTGAGAAACCCACAGAAAACATTTAGGCAAAACGGAAGCTACGTTCAAGTGAAACTTTTATGTATAATGCAAAAAAAATATTTTTTTTATATTAGTACGGATATTCTGCGCGAATCTGACTGGCTCATAGGTTTTCCTTAATGTATTCACCTCTTGTACCTTATAGATGGTTTTTCAAAGAAACCATAAATAACTGTCTGTGTAAAATGAACTTATATCTGACAATGTAATTCTCATGTTGTTCTACATGTATATTCCCATCCCAAGTCTTAGATTATATAATGTCCCAAGTATATTCCCCAGTGATGAGTATCGCTATTTGTTGTATGGAAAGTCAGTCGTTAATATGAATAAAATTACTGAAAATAAAAGTACAAATATACCTTCGCGCAAATCCTATCAAAAGCTTACTTAAATTATTATAGAGTAGTAATATAACTATAGTAATAGGCAACTAAGGTATATATTTTTTAAAAACGTTTGTGCATTTTGTGTGCCTTGAAACAAAAACGTTGTTCGAAATTAATGCTTGTGCAGCTGCTTAAAAGAATGACCTCTAGTATATCATATTTTTTGCTTATCATATTTTATGAGAAGCTTTATTGAGAACAAGGGCATAACGAATTACCAAATGAATCAGCAAAGAATATGCAGGTAATCGAATATGAAAGGCAGTTATATTTAAAATATAATTATTTAAATAAGCTTTCAAAGTTTTGATGTTATTCACTTCATTGTGAAATCTATCCTAATTTAACAAATTTGAGTGTGTATTTTACTTATGAACTATAGGTAATATTATTGTTATGACCAGAAAAGTAGTTGTAGAAAATTACATAAACTCCTCTTGGAGAACAAGTCCGACATGTGCACTTTAATCATGAACATTGTGATAATGATTGAGCAAGTTCTCCATTGTTGTTATTCATTAAATTATGCCGTCAGTTTAATTAGAAATTAACATTGTTCTAAGAGCGTAATTTACGTCTTATAATCATCATTTATACCTATAGGTTATATGTCTTTGTGATTCGGAGTTTATTATTTTTGTTTTTTTAGCAATGAGTCGTTAATATGAACCTAAGTTTCCCCTCATTTTTAAACAATCTTAAATAGGTCTTCTCACAAAGAATAATGATTATTATAGCCTTTTTTTACTGATTTAAAGTCAAACAATCTTTTAGTAATTAAGATAATGTGAGAGATATGAGAGTCTTACCAACTAACAATCCACGATGAAATAAGACGCGAAAGCGGGTCAACTTATATAACACAAATAAAGTTACCTACTTATGCTTGCGGGCAAACTTTACTTTGTTTATTTCGGTTCTTGCTAGTTACTTTCAATTTGATATGAATATAACTTATGTTTACTTTTACACACAGATATAGTAAACAATAAAAATCCTTATACTAGGGCCGGTTAAACACGCATCTTAACTATATTTTTAGACGCGTTTCGCATCCATCTCATTCTACAAGTTAAGTTGCCTACATAGGTATATTTTACGCACTCTTCTATTTAACGGAGACAAAGAGGTTACATTTGTACTCACCGGGACATTGTTGCACATCCGTAGCGGCTGCAAGGGCAACAAATGCCAAACACACGAACATGAGCGCAGTCTGCGGTGCCATGGTTACGTTTGGATACTGGTTTTTGGTTACTGGCGCGATGAGACAACGCGCGAGCTCACTGCACCGCTGCTGTTCACACTAATACACCCCTCTCCTTCCAATGCCTCTACTTGTTTACCAACATCCAAGTATTACTCTTATTTACTAGTCGCTAAAGCTCCTAATTCTGTACGTTCTAATCGCCTTCATAGAGCGGAGACATAGGATCCTCATCCGCACAGTAATTATCATATATGGATACTGACGTTTTAAAATTATGACGTCCTAATGGACTTTGATTTACAAAGATTAATGGGCCTTTGTCTAAAAATAAATCGATATCAAATAACGAATTTATGGCCCTAATAGCTAACAGATATCAATAGTTTGTGTATCTGTGCTATATAAAATATTATTCATTTCATAATGCATTTTTCCATAATCGACTATTTACATATATTCGATTATATATATTAGTTATAGTATATAGATATTCTTGTAGTTAATTAAAAAAAATAACTACCCACAAATAAAAATCCTAATAAATTATACATGTCGATTAATAAATCCACGGCTAATATTTTGTTAAAAATAAAACTGACCGCTGAACTCTACAAAAAAATTTAAGAATGGCGGGTAAAAAACGAAGTAAAGCGGACCTTCTGAGCAGTTTTATACTTTGATTCGTTGTTTTGTTTGAGGCAGTTAGCAACAACACCAAACGAAACTCACTCCAATTGATAAGCCTTAAAATCTTGAAAGTAGAGTTCCAAATAAGTTGCGGATATGCGACATTTTGTGATAACCTCGAATATGTGCTTAAGTAATAAATAAGATGGATACATGAATACAAAAATGAAATAAAAAGTTTCGCGTAGAACTACACGGCAGCCGCTTTTTTAGTTTTAAGATTTTATTTATTTGCCGGTTTTATTTATCTTTTAAAAATAATACTTTTAAAATCTGTTTAAGTTATCCCTTATAGGTACGCAGATCAATAAGTTTATATATTTCTTGATGCAGATCGTAGTTATCGACTTAGCAAGTGCTTAGGATAAATTCTTAAACAACAAAGAAAACAAAGACCAAATCACGAAGATCTGTGTCGTCCTAGATAAACCTTCGTATAATAAATTTTATTGAGCACTTGCCCCGGGCGCAAAATCGCCAAAATCATAAAAAGCATGAGCTTCACGAAAATGTCTTTTAAAACTTATAAGTATATATGCTGCTTTATAAAAACTAAGCGTGTGGATTTGTACTGCATTCGTTGCATATCAAGTTTAGCTAAGATATAGATAGATAGTTACTGATTGCATTATTTTAATAGGCATCCATTATCGTATCCAGTGTTTACCCTTTTGTACAAATAATAGAAGCATTTAGTCTCCTTAATTTAATAAAGATTTGATTCGTTATATTACAAAATTGTTTCCCTTGCTCCATTCGTGAGAAAAGTTGAAATAGTAAATGTAATATATTTTAAATTCACTTCTTTTCAGAAGATCTTTCAGAAAATAGACATAATTTTTTGTGAACGTTTCAAAAAAGCAATGATGTGTTAAAATATATTAGGTATTTATACGAACGATAAAGAAAGATGATTATGGATTTGATTACAGTGTTAACTACTTAGATTTATCCCAAATTTAAACACCAAAAGACATGTTTAATAGTTACATGAAACGAAATATCGAGATAACATCGCTAAGATATCGTATTCTACTGCTAGAATCATGGCTAGTGTTAAGCGGTCGCACGATCAATCAGGATCATAGTACGATCAGCGAGCGAGAGTTGATCTATTCTGTGGTTTCACTTAGTTTTTATTTCCTATAGACTATACTTCCGAAATGGTCTCATATAAAATTAAAATCGGTTAAGCAATTTTATATAAAAAAAAATAAAGAGTCATCTATAAAAGTATATGTGCAGGTTTGTCATCGAAGTAAACGAGTATTTCACTACATGTATAAAACAAAGTCGCTTTCTCTATCCCTATAGCCTTATGTATGCTTAAATCTTTAAAACTACGCAACGGATTTTGATACGGCTTTTTTTTTCATAGATAGGGTGATTCAAGAGGAATGTCTTTATGTATAATACAAGACCACGCGGGCGAAGCCGCTGGCGGAAAGCTAGTATGTCATATAATTAATATAATGGAAGTAACTTTTAGGTTCTTGTAAAAATTGATTATTACACCTACACCTCATATTTATAAATATAAATTTTATTTTACTTGTATTATAAAGACAAAAGTTGTCATATGTACAATCATACGGTTACCATCGAAATTAATAGGTCTATCTGCGTAAACGTTGATTCATGAGCCGACATATTGGTTTGGTTCTCTCATACTTCCTATGTATCTGAACTAAAATCGTGTCACGATACGAGCTTACTCCTTCTTAGTTAGTAAGTGGCCGTTCAAGTATCATATAACGCAATTAACGAAGATTTTTTTACCCTCCCACCCAGGGGCGGATCTACATATGGGCTTTTTGGGCTGTAGCCCAGGGCCCCATGGATATAAAGGGCCCCCAGCTTTTCTGATTGGAAACATATAGGGAGTTGTTTAGAATATCACGAAAATTCTAATAACCATCAGAAGTCAATATTAGTGTGGTTGACACGAAAAAAAAAGGTCTGTTTAAGACAAACAGTTTCAGGAGCAATTTAAAAAAGAAACAAAATATTATCACAATGTTTTAAAACGGGTTATTGCAGTGATAAAATTTTTAAGTATCAGGGGCCTACCATTTAGAGATTCCGAGGAAGAATTTGGTTCTCCACATAATGGCAATTTTGTAGGTGCTCTGGAGCTATTAGCAGAGTTTGATCCATTCATTCGTGAACACATTGAACATGAAAGATGTGTTTCCTTCATTAAAATTAGTGGTCATACTGGCTTACATTTATTTAATATTCTACAAGCATTTTTAGAAACATATGGACTACCCTTGAAAAATATGGCGGTTTACTACAATGGTGTACAAGCACTACTAAAACAAAAGAACAAATACGCGGATTATGTGCCATGTGCTGAGCATTCTCTTAACCTAGTTGGTGAAGAATCTGTTAAGGTAGCAACCGAAATTGTAAACTTTTTTGGAGTAGTGCAAAAAATATACGTTTTCTTCTCTACTTCGACTCATAGGTGGGAACTGTTAAATCGTGAAACAAAAATCAAATTTACTTTAAAAAATTTAAGTCAGACCAGATGGTCTTGTAACTACGATGCTGTCAAAGCTTTAAAAAATAATTATGATGAAATTATGAAAATTTTCAAAAGTTTCAGCGAAAATGAGAATGAGAAAGTCGATTTCCGAAAAGAAGCACAAAATTTATACAATAAAATGGCGAAATTTAATACTGAAATTATGATTATTTTTTGGGAAGAAATTTTGGAGAGATTTCATTCAGTTAATAAAAAAATACAAAGCCCTGGTTCAGATATTTGTGAAGGTAACAAGTTCATAGTGTCATTAAAAGACTTCGTAAACAATATTCGTTACCAATCAGATCAGAAGCTAAAAGAATATGAAGAGAAAGCTAAAGCTAAAATTAAGTACTAGTGTGGAAATAGACTACAATGACAAAAACAAGAGACGCATAACTCCAAAATTTTCAGATAAGTCATCAGATAAATTCGCAGTTTACGGCGCAGAAAAATTAAAAAGAGACACACTAAATGTTGCGTTGGATAAGTTGATTATGGATTTGAATAAAAGAAGTCTAGTCTATGAGACATATAGCAAGAAATTTAAATTTTTTATAGATTTGCAAGAGAAAAATATGGAAAACCTAGATCAGGAAAGTGTACGTAATATTATTGATTATTATCCAGATGACGTAGACGAGCATTTAGTAAATGTGTGCGTTCAGTTAAAATCTTACTTACTTCAGTGTAAACCAGAGTCTTACACTTTTTGTGATGAAATTTTTATGATAATTTATGAAAAGAAACTTTTTGATGTTTTCCCAAATTGCTATATCATATTAAAGATTTTTTTAACTTTGCCAATCAACTAGCTGTGAAGCGGAGCGTTCTTTCTCTTGGAGGATGACTTATATAGAAAATAAATATAGGACAACAATTTCGAACCATCGACTTACTCATCTATCAGATCTTTCCATAAATAGTGACTTAACGAAGGACTTACAATGTGATGAGCAAACTGAGGAATTTGCAGCACAAAAATGCAGAAGGTTGCTTTATAATCTATTATATTAACCTATCAATTTCTTTTGCAATCATTTTGTAAAGTCATAATATATAAATAAAACTATTTTATTGTCCTATTGTCTCTTTATAGTTATCAACATCATTATAGAAAATAGATTTTAACAGTTTTCCTGATTTTTAGTGGTATCGATTTTTTTGTTGAACATACAAATTCCTCCATACGGATTTTGAATGGATGAAAAATATGCCATTTTTTGTATTGTCAATGGTATAAACATGTCGTCTAAAGAATTTGGTGAAAGGCATATTTTGTTTTATTATTTCGATAAAATTTATATAGAACCACATCTGACTCTTAAGCTGTCTAATAAAAAAAAATAATCATTAAAATTGGCTCTTAAAAAACGAAGCTAACCGCGAACCAACATAAAAAAGTATGTATGCGGTCGAATTGAGAAACCTCTTACTTTTTTAAAGTCGGTTAAAAATGGCTATTAGTTTAGTACATATTTAGGTAGGCCCACAAATAGTTTTAGCCCAGGGTCAGAAAATTCACGATCCGCCCCTGCTCCCACCCCCCTTTTAACGCGCCGTTCTGAACCTTCCTTCCACTCCATAAGCATTACGTAATACTCAAATGATCAAACCTATCTATTTACCAGCAATTAAAAGTTAGCTGGCATTTTTAACAGTTTGTCTGTCAATTCAGCATTAGTTTTTACAGGACAGGAACAGCTGGTGATGCAAATCTCCCTCTTTTGAGGATATAAGAGTATGAAGTTACTTTCATAATACTGACTATAGCAATGCTCTTTGCTAACTTTAGGAGATTCTAATTACATATTTTTGTATGCAATTAAAAAACCGATGTAGCTTAACGCGTTCTACAAACACCCACTCCTACGTAACGCATCATAATAACGTTTTAGAAGACCCCAACCTGCTTTACGTAATACTTTAAGCGAGACGGTAATACAATCGACCAAACGATGTTTTGTGGTGACACAACAACTTAGTGAGTAATTTTCCAGTACCGAACAGCTTGTCTAGTATAGTATACACAGAACAGGAAAAATATGGTACACGGAAGTCTGGGTGTACTGAATTAATCAATGAAGTAATAATAAAACTAAAAATATTGTTTTTTATTATTTCTGAAGATACTACAGTTGATAAATAAATATTATATGCAATAATATTAATTGAAAAGTATAAAATAATTTTGTATTGTATTCATACCTTCTTCATTCAATTACATTCTATGGTTTACTATGAAAGACAAATTTTCTGCAACTGGTTAAGCCTTAATATATTCATAGTCAAGTTCAAATAATTGATTATATAGTTTTCTATATATATACATTAAGTTAAACTAAATTAATTAAAAAAATAGATAAACGAAGCTATTTCATATATAGAAATAAACAAAAATGTTTGAATAGATACATATATAACGGCGGGTAGTCAGAAGAGGCTATTACGAAGCCCAAATAGATCGTCCATATCGGGGGACTATCTTTAAAATAACACTGCAGGCGTGTATACCAACGTGGATTTATCCCATTTTATCACTTTTCATACGAAAATATAACGAGATGAGCGTGATGTCGTCGGATGTCTTTACTCCTGGGGAAACAGAATGTGTGCCAAAATGGCGGCAACTTGTTTTTTGTTAACGATCTGTCAAAGTCAGTGTCACCATTCTAATAAAATTAAAAGTATCGATGATCACGCTCTCTCTACAATCGACTAATTAAGTAATCGAGTAACTAGTAATTAAAATAAAAGAAATTAAATCAAACGATCTTCGTAAAGATGATGCGACATATATAATAGAGTAAAAATAATGCACATGATGAATACACATAAAATTTAGCAGTCCATTAGTACAAATAGTGTACGTATGAAAGTGAACTCTGGATTAATAATTAAATTATTTATTAAATGCCTGAGGCATTCAGTGTCTTAATACACATAATGACATATATCAGATATTTAATTATAAAAATAAAAATACTTAACAGTTATCTTACAACTAAATGCTTATTCTGAAAAAATTTGCTTTGTTATTAATATTTTAAAGTACATTATATGTACCACTTACGTTAAAATACTAATCTGAGATTCTTATACCCTAAACATCGGTAATGACATGAATACTTATCTTCATTATAAAAAAACAGATTCTTATAAAAATAATTTAAATATCCGATATTTTAGTTTTTTTTTTATATTATACTGATACTTAGGAAATATTTTTCTCAATATATTAGATTTACATTCTATTCAAAGTGTCATGTACCTTATTTTATTCATTCGCATTCGATAGAGATTGCTTGCGGTCCCTGTTATTCTAAAGTGACGATTTAACACCGAATGCATCTTGGTTTATATTCAACCTATATGGGTTACAGTTATATACTATCTGATCGGTACACTATATAAATCATTAAGAGTCCTAATAGGTACACGTAGGAATGCATCTTTCAGGTTACCGCAGTTTGAAGACGGCGCTTTGGAGAAGTACTTCTCTATACTGTTTAACAGGGAGCGGGAAGGATCTGTGCCCACTTCATATTCGTCGATTGCTTTGTATATTGCCTGGAACAAATAAAAATATGAATCACCATCAGCACAATGAATCAAATAAAGTGTCTAATAAACAGGGCAAGATAACAAGTAGCTGGCGGATATGTTATTCCTTCGCTTTGGTTAATACATGTATTATTTCAGTCAGGCAGAGCGATCGCCTAAACTTCTAGGGTACGATATCTTATAGATATTATGGCGATATTTCGTTTCCTTTTACTTCTTTTCAGTGGCGGACTAATCGGGTGGCAACACAATATCATATTTCGGCACCGGTTGAAAAGTTTTCGCCACTGCTTCTTTTAAAATAATCTTTATTTGCAAAAATATGGTAACAAGGTAGTTTTACAATTTTAGACCAGCATATTTTATCGTCAAGACGATGTGCAACTCAATTAAGACGATGTTATGGTGGGATAACAATACTAATCTGGCTACGCCGCTATCAAATATACAATCATCATTCTTTATCATTCGTTCGTCATTAATAAAGTACATGTTAAAGTAGTTAAATCACTAAGAACAACAGACAACATCGATAAGATCTCGTATCTTATAGCTAGAGTTACGCGGTTGCACCGATAATTTTTATGACACATACAGAGAGTGTAGTAATTAATACCTATTAATACACACGGCCACAGATCAGGTGCCACAATACGTCAAATTTCCGCAATTGATTTTTAATTCTACCGGCAACGCATTAAGATCGAAAATCAGGAGAATAGATTTATATCCTATTAATATTATAAAGGCGAAAGTTTGTAAGTATGGATGTATGGATGTTTGTTACTCTTTCACGAAAAAACTACTGGACGGATTTGGATAAAACTTTACAGCAATATAGGTTATACATCAGAATAACACATAGGGTACTTTTTACTGGGAAAACTTCTCACTCCCACGGGATACCGACTTCCACGCGGACGAAGTCGCGGGCGTCCACTAGTAACCTGATATAATCTTAACTGTACTGAACTTTTTTTTAATTTGCATATCTTTTTTATTTGAAATTATTGATTTACTCAAAAGTTGTTAAATTATTATAATTGTAATACAAATAAAGTAATGAAAGAACAGTGAAAACACTTTTAAATGTTTACTGATCTCAATAGATTCAAAATACTGATAAATTAACTTTTGCTATTACCTCATTTTTTTTTATTATGGTTTATAGTATTATTAAATTCAGCCAGTGGCCATTGGCCAAGCCATCTGACTACATCTGTTTATGTTAACACCCGCTAATTTGCACTGGGCCCATATGGTGGGTTATGGACAAGAAGAGTTTATTCTTCTTGGTGACAGTCCATTATCTTTTATTTAATTCCATCTACAGGGAAGGCCTATGCCACTGACAATGACGTACATAGCATAGTGTTATACTAGTCTAAAAATATACTCCATATTAATCTATTCTAGGCTTCTGTCATAATAATCTACCGCAGTATTAGATTACAATGTCAAGACCTGGAATGCAGGTTGCTTATTGTTGTGGAAGGCCTGTCGGCTACCATGCAGTAAAAATACTCCACTGCTGGTGGCGTCGGTGCACGCGTCACCGTACATACACTGATCCGCGCGGTAGTTGTACCGACACGACAACTCCAATACCGCATTCTCGTGGTAGTGAAATATTATGTTTATAATATCCTACACAAAAAAAATGTTTATATTAGTAAAAGGCAGATCACTATTAAAAATATTTATGAAGCAATAAATTCAATACAATACTGTTGGTACAGTTGCTAATAAAAATAAGCTTCCAAATAAGTTTTGTCATAAAAAACGTTTATGAGGAAGTATTTAAAAAAAACGAAATGTTGCTACAGTACTTTCTTGATTTCTTCATGACAAACCTTACATGTATATAAGTAAATTCATTTTCAGAACTCAATAAACAACTCATATTTTATTTGTACTTTTTGTATTTATATATTGATATCTAAGTTTCGAACTTTGCAAACTTCAATTTTTTAATATGCTAATTAAAAGTAATGGAAATAATATTTAGTCTATTTGTTTCCTGCAAAACTCAACTTTTGCTAAAGTCGACATCTAGTGAGGTTGTTCAAAGCAGAATGAACACAAATTCCTTTGCATAGCAAAAAATTGATTTAAAAAGTTTTGCCGTTTTTGGCGGTCTTCTCGAACTTCTAATTTTGAGACGCGTGGTGGGCTATAGCCACAAATATTAAATTAATTATTATTAAGTAGTCTTAAAGGCTAAATATTACAAATTATAAATTAATATAATGTACACAAGGTGTGTAAATAATAAATTCTTTCTTATGTTTACAAGTGCGATGTTTTTATTTTATAATTAGTGGACTCAAGAAACGACCTATGGATGATAATAAATTAACATTGAGCGTCGCACACAACATAAGAAATGGTCCTTCGTTTGGAACATAAGAAATAGTACTTCGTTTGGAATGCAAGAAATGGTTCATCATTGGGCAAAAACATAGAAGATACTGCTTCACTAGTGAAGAAATAAATTGGTTCCATCATCGCCATTTTGAGTTGGCGCCGCGTCCTTTAAAAGTTTGTTCGCGGGGAGCTATTTCCAAATTAGTCGGCGTCGAGCTTGGTTATTGGCTGTTACAACAAAGTGCGTCAGCGGCTGTGCGCGCTGATTGGGTGAAACACGTTTTCGCGCTTGCGCTGTGAACGTTTGCTGCACTGCGCAAGTCTTCTCGTCCAGAAGAGAACGTCAAGCCGGTGTAGCGTCGTCGCGCCATTTTTCTGTGCTGTGTTGTGTGGCTAACAAAAAGAAGCCATTTTTGTGAAAATTTCTTTTGTAGAAACTCTTAAATTTGTATAAATATTGGATTTGTGTAGTTGTATATAGTTTTAAGAATGGATAACATAGAGGAATTGGTGGCTGCTCGAAGTCAACTAAAGGCTTCGATAACTAAAATTTATAATTTTGCATCTAACATTGGAGAAAAGGTAACATCCAGTTTATTAGAAATAAAAATTAGTTACTTAAAAAATACGTTCGAAAAATATACTGATAACCATTTTAAAACGTTATCTCAAAAACGAGGCGATGCAGATTTCGATGATTATGAAGACAAATATTTACTTGCATTGTCTAACTTGCAATCTGCGTTAACAACGTTAAATAGTAATCAGTCTGCATTGTCATCATCACCATCAGTAAGCAACGAGCACCATGTCAATTTACCTAAAATTGAAATTCAAACCTTCACAGGTAAAAGTGAAGAATTTTATCCGTTTTTAAATTTATTTAGGTCACTTATCGACAAAAACGCAAGTCTAAATAATACACAAAAGTTGTATTACTTACGTAGTTTTCTCAGAGGTGAGCCTCTAGATATTATTAAAAATTTACCGCTCTTAGATGAGAATTATGAAAGGTCATTAAACCTGATTGTAGAACGATATGACAATAAAAATAAAATTGTTATTGATCATGTAAATAAATTTTTAGATATAGTGCCAATTACAAAATGTACAGCTCTAGCGTTAAGAAACTTAATTGCTGATGTCAAACAGAATTTGAGTGCACTAGAGAGTTTAGACCAGCCTGTTTCCAGTTGGGACATGGTTTTAATATGTATATTAACAAAAAAAATAGACCAGTACACAGTACGATCTTTTTATATGGAACAGATAAATAGGGATAAGCCATATAAATTATCTGATTTAATATTATTTTTAGAAAATAAGGCTATTGCTTTAGAGGCCACTACAGGGCAAGAAAGGATGTCTGGAGCTACAGCTAGCAGACCTCAACATGTAAGCTTGCTTACAAACAAATCATCATGTGAGTATTGTCAGTCAGATTCTCATAAAATTTATAATTGTGGGAAATTTAAAACTAGCTCTGTCAAACAGAGAATACAGTTCATAGAAAGAACAAATAGGTGTAAACTGTGTTTAAATAACCATACAAAAAAATGCTATTTTGGCTTTCGTTGTGCTAAATGCAAGGGTGATCATAATACTTTGTTGCATATTGATAATATTAATTCAACAGCTCAATATCCTGAAACTGCTGAAAATAAAAAGGTGTTGCTGAGGGAGCGCATACCGCTGTCACCTAGCGGCCCATACCTAATAAATACCAAATTAGGTTATGTAGTGGGAGGAGCTGTTGTGGGTAAGACACCGAGGCAAGATGAATTATATTGTAATTTTGTTAATTTAAATTTTAAGTCTAGTATTACTAAAAAGAAAGAGCCATGTGGTTACTGTAAAGACTCTATTCATCAACAGTTAAAACAATTTTGGCAATGTGAAAATGTCAATGAAACCTTTTTTGAATCAACTTCTGAACAGGAATTGGCGGAGAAATATTTTAATGAAACTTGTAAATTAAATAATAATAAATTTGAAGTCTCCTTGCCATTTAAATTGCCTACAGAGGAAATTAATTTAGGTGATTCTTTATCTTGTGCATTGCAAAGATTTTATAATTTAGAAAAAAGGTTTTCTAAAGATCCAGTTTTGTTTGAAAAATACAAATTGTTTATTAATGATTATGTTAAACAGGGGCATGCAAAGGTAATTAATATATCTGAATATGACCTTAAAAGGGGAGATGTTTATTTTCTACCGCACCATCCAGTTTTTAACGAAAATTCCAAAACTACTAAATTAAGGGTAGTGTTTGATGGTAGCATGCTGACAAAAAACAAAATTTCATTAAATGATATGTTACTCAATGGTCCCATAGTACAGAGTGATTTATTTGATATATTGATACAGTTTAGGTTAGGTAAATACATTCTTATAAGTGATATAAAACAAATGTTTAGAAATGTGAATTTAAATGAAAAGGATTGCAAATTTCAAAATATTTTATGGCGAGAGTCGCCTAATGATCCTGTTGAATGCCTTCAGCTTCAAACTGTTACATATGGTTTAAAAACTTCTTCTTATTTAGCAACTCGATGTCTTTTAGAGTTAGCTAACCGATTTAGTGATAAATATAAATTAGCAGCATCTGCACTCAAAAATAACACGTATGTTGATGATGTAAATTTTACTTCTAATGATGTTGATGAATTGAGTCAATTAAAATATGAACTAATAGATTTATTAAGATTAGGAGGTTTTGAATTACATAAATGGTGTTCGAATGCACCGCAAGTGCTGGCTGATATCCCTGCTGAAAGACAGCAGCTAGAAAATATTGATTTAGCATTTGATGATATGTCTGTTAAAACGTTAGGCTTACATTACAATATTAAAACAGACAATATTGATATTACTTGTCCAGAACAAAAGTTTTTGGAAGTTTATACTAAGAGAGAGATTTTAAGTTTTATTAGTAAGTTTTTTGACCCTTTGGGAATACTGGGTCCTATATTAATTAAAGCAAAATTATTTTTGCAAGAGCTTTGGAAGGCTAATATTAATTGGGATGTTCCACTTTCCTTTGATTTAAATCATAAATGGAAAAAATTTGCTTTTGGTTTAATTAACATGTCATATATTTCTATTCCAAGAAACATTAGTGTTTCTAAGTTTGTTAAGATTGAAATAGTAGGGTTTGCTGATGCATCAAATAATGCATATGGATGTTGTATATATATAAGAATTGTAAAAGAAGATGGTACTGTTTGTATGAACTTGTTATGTTCAAAATCTCGAGTCAGTCCCATTGGTAAACAACTTTCAACACCTAGGCTTGAGCTTAATAGTGCACTCTTGCTCTCTATTTTAATAAAAAAGGTTTATAAATGTATATGTTTAAAATTTGATAAGAAAGTTATGAATGTTTACTTGTATTCAGATTCACAAATAGTGTTGTCTTGGTTGAAAATAGAACCTGTACGGTTATCTGTGTATGTGGCTAATAGAGTCAAATCTATAAGAGATTCATGTAAAAACTATTCTTGGCATTATATTAATACACAATCTAATCCAGCAGATTGTATTTCTAGGGGATTAGATCCTGATATGTTGAAAGAAAATATTCTCTGGTGGCATGGACCACAAATTATGCATGATAAAGATTATGAACATTCTAATGACTTTGTCCAATTAGTTGAAAAATTACCTGAAATTAAAAATGTATGTTTGTTTACAATTGATTCATATGATAAAAATTTCATAAAAAAATTATTGTATAGATATTCATCTTTTTTAAAACTCCAAAGAGTAGTTGCATATGTATATAGATTTTATAAAAATTGTAAATTGCCTAAAAATGAAAGACACAATGGTGTAATAAATGCCAAGGAAATTAATGATACTACTTTAGTAATTGTTAAATGTGAACAAAGGCAATATTTTAATAATGAAATTCATAGATTAGCAAAGGATCAGCCAGTAAAAGGTAATTTGTTACAATTGAATCCATTTCTAGATGAAAGGAAAATACTTCGTGTTGGTGGTAGATTAGAAAATGCATCTATACCCTATTCTCAAAAGCATCCAATAATATTGCCGAAAGGGTCATATATAACAAAATTAATAATTTATGATGCCCATGTTAAGCTGTTACATGCAGGGCCTAAACTTATATTAAGTTATTTAAACCAAAAGTATTGGCTGATCAATGGTTTAAGAGAAATTAAATCTGTAATACATAAGTGTGTTGTATGTTTTAGACTTAAGGCTAAACAAGCTTCACAGTTGATGGGTTCTTTGCCACAACAGAGAGTCACAGCAACCCGTCCATTTGAAATAGTTGGTGTCGATTATGGGGGCCCATTTCAAATAAAGCAGTCACGTGTAAGAAAGGTTTTAATTTCAAAAGGTTATATTGTATTATTTATATGCTTTTCGACTAAGGCTGTCCATGTTGAACTTGTATCTGACATGACCACAGAAGCATTTCTAGCTGCCTTAAAAAGATTTATATCTAGACGCAACATGCCTTCTATAATATATTCTGATAATGCTGCGACTTTCCATGGGGCAAACAACCAATTAAATGATCTGTATAAGTTAAAAAATTCTGTTGAGCATCAAACATGTGTTCAAAATTATACGTCATCGCTTGGCGTTCAATTTAAGTTTGTACCTGCATATTCACCGAATTTTGCGGGAATCTGGGAAGCAGGAATTAAAAGTGTAAAGTATCATTTAAGACGTGTCGTAGGTGACAAATGTTTTACTTATGAGGAATTGTATACTATAATGGTTCAAATAGAAGGGATTTTAAATTCTAGGCCGTTAACGCCATTAGTAATGTCTGATATGAATGACTTCACTTACCTTACACCTGGCCATTTTCTCACAGGTGCATCTCTCCAATGTCTACCTGAGCTTGATGTTACTAACGTTCCTACCAATAGATTAAAATTTTGGAAACAGTGTGTACAAATTCAACAGTCATTTTGGAAGCAGTGGCATAAGCAATATCTAGTTCAGTTACAGAATCGTCCTAAGTGGCAGGTAGCTCAACCTAATTTGCAGGTTGGAACATTAGTCATCGTTAAAAACGATAATGTAAGTCCTCTAGCATGGCCCATGGCCAGAGTAATAAAAGTGTACCCTGGAGAGGATGGAAAGGTGAGGGCTTTAGATATTAAAAACCAAAAAGGTTTTGTAACAAGAACAAGTATATCAAAGGTTTGTATTCTACCAATAGAAGATAATAATGTATTAGGTATTCATTAAATTGCCTTGAATTGTAGTTTTTATATTATATGTATGTCTATATTTTTTTTACTTAACTATATGCAGATTTACGATAATTTTAATTTACTATAAAACTTTAAAATTGTATAATTTCTTTTGTAGAGGCCGCGACTATGTTCAAAGCAGAATGAACACAAATTCCTTTGCATAGCAAAAAATTGATTTAAAAAGTTTTGCCGTTTTTGGCGGTCTTCTCGAACTTCTAATTTTGAGACGCGTGGTGGGCTATAGCCACAAATATTAAATTAATTATTATTAAGTAGTCTTAAAGGCTAAATATTACAAATTATAAATTAATATAATGTACACAAGGTGTGTAAATAATAAATTCTTTCTTATGTTTACAAGTGCGATGTTTTTATTTTATAATTAGTGGACTCAAGAAACGACCTATGGATGATAATAAATTAACATTGAGCGTCGCACACAACAGAGGTGCTTTTGAGTACTATCTTTTTTCTTAAAAAACTTCCTCATTACAAATAAAGATAATATACATATATAGGTACAAATATTTTTAATTACAAGAATATGCATATTCAATACATATATGGCTATGCCTACTTGGTTGCAGTTTTTTGATTCTTAATAACAAGCAAAACTCTTACTTGAAAAATTAAATACCTGATCTCCCCATGGTATATACAACTTCCACTTCAGCATAATTGGCGTGACATAATCAACCCAACCAAAATCTCGCATTCTAGTTAAGTTCATTAACATAACTCCAGAGTTTAGACCTTAAATATAATTGATATGTGTGTTATAATAATATATAATGATGAATTACAATAATATAGAATGAATTGTAATAAATCAGTGCTGCCTTTATACTTTTAGCAGAATTAAAGATAGGCTATGGATGTAGCTCACTACCAGATGTACAAACATCAATTGAAATTGTCATTAGTTTAAAGCGACATTACCAATACAAATTTTCAAATATAAAAATTCATTGGAGCTTTAAAGACATGATGGCTTAAAATATAATGGATATTTTTGTAACCGACTGTTAGATGGGTAAAATTAAGGAATGCCTTTTTAACTATCCAGTTAGCACCTTTTGCTCAACACTCACTTAAAATAATTGATATTGCAGTGCATGTATTAATATTGAGCAATATTATAGTTTGAAAGTACATGCCTATCTCCATATTGGTACTGCTTGTCATAATTTCTGATATCTAAAGCAACAACTGCACTTGGTTGTTTATGTAGATGGATATTATAAACAAAAAAGTAATATTTGGAATACTTTGATAAACAGCAATAAATTAAAAAATATATTTACCATACTTTCCATAAAAAGGATGTTTGGCAAATCTAGGATACCATGAAACATTAGGGTTATCATCCTCAAGTGCCATTGCTGATATATGAGAACTATTAAACTTCAAAAAGAAACTCCATAACTCATCAACTGGACCTAAGAACAATGTATCTGTGTCTACATATATCATTGAGTCTATATGTGGCACAAGCTTCTGCAAAAAGTTTAAGGAAAACATAAATTAAAACATGTAATATCAAATAATTATGGTTTTTATGCATAAATATCATAATAAGGGATAGCATGACCTTCACAAAAGTCTTCAGTTTAATAATAATTAAAATAATATTTATTATTCAAAATTTCAATCCATTTTGTACCACTTATTTTTCTATGCTGTTTAACAAAAGAATGGACTGGGATAAAAATTATGTAAAAAATACTTGCAGGTATAAATAACCGTTGAGCAGCACACTTGCTAAACAGATTCATCCAATCTTCCCTATGAGCTTCTGGAAAATGGATCTTTTGTAGTTCAAAATCAAGCTGGTTTTTTGACAGTCTCTTCCATTCAGTCAATGTCTTATTGAACTTATGTCGCAAGTTTTCGTCAGTAAAAATAACAAAGTGTACAGGTGTCTTAGTAAAGAGCAAAACAGATTTAACCACATTCAATGATTCGTTGAATCTTGAGTCACATACCACAAACGATAGTATAATCTTCTCTGATGATTTTGAAAAGATATTAGTCCTAAAATAAAATTGAATTACGACTTAGTCTTACAATTATCACAAACAGAACAACATAAATATAGAACATAAAAATTTAATAATAAAATGACGAAATGCAATATTAAATACAAAGAATAAAACATTAAAAACTAACCTCGAATTGTTCTTTTTTATATTCTGTAAGCTCGCAGTTTTGTAATTTTCATAGCACATATATATAATTAAGACACAAACAAAAATTGTTATAAACCATTTACATAAAAAAAACTTTCTCATTTTTTAAAATTAAGGATTTAGAAGATAATCAGTCATTGTTTTGACGTTATTTTTATTATTAACTTTTTTAATGTTTTAACGGCACTGGGTTCTTGCCCTTTTTGCTCTTGTTCTTGTCTTCTTCAATAACATTCATAGTTTTAAAACACAGTTAAAAAGCACTTAATTGATAAGATTGTATTATTTATGTATGTATGTAACGGTTTGAAATATGCACTTGTTGCGTTGCTTTTTCCTTTGTTTCATACGGACAGTGGCATTAAAATAGTTCTTTTAAGAGCTTCTTATTTCATTGGCGGATATAGAAATAAAATTTCCATTGACTGATGTACATAGTCTTATTACCATCTTGTTGCTGATATAGCCACAACAGCAAGAAGCAAAACGTTTTTCACTACTATTTTTAGACTTAGATTGAAACATGCTCGGTTTAATGCTCACCTCCATTGAATGCATCCATAATCAATGCAATATCGCTGATCATATACTTTGGACATCATTATCTTTGTTTATCCGTCGTTCAACATACAACGCCTTGCTCTAGCTAGCAGACCATAAAAAGTATAAGAATCCGAAAAATGTCTCGTGCTCTGCACAAGACCTTCTGAAGAAAACTTATACATATTCAGCATTATATGCGTACATATTCTCAACCCTCAAAGATATTTAACTTAAGACTTGGCGGTAGCCCTGCACCCAAAAGAAAATCAATAGGTTATTAAAAAATATGAAGTGGAAGTATGAGTGCAAGTCCTTTGCTTACCGCGAAAGAATGAAGAAACAAAAAAAATATCTATTAATGTCAAATCCAAAATCAATTTTAAATTTTAATGAAAGTCCTTTGTCTACCCTGAAAAAGGTGAAAAGAATAAAAAAAATATATAATCAATTCATTTATTTATTTAGAAAATACCTAGTATCTTCTTCTTAGTTTGTGTTTAGAAACAAACGTGACATTGGCGGAATTGTGTAAACGCAAATAGGCCATGAATTAAAAAAGTAAAAGAATTTATTTAGAAACCTGATAAAGTTAAAAAAACATGAAAAATAAAGTCGACTAGAGATAGTGAATGGACTAAATTGAACACAAAATTTTACTGCAATTATTCTTGCGTAAATTGGCGTTAAACAATCTACAAACAAAAAGCACCCAGCCGAAGCATATGAGACAAATTAAAATTGTTTTTAAGTTATAAGTTTTAGTGATTCGTGATAACTATGATGCCAGGAAGAATTGGGAACTTACAGCTAGCTGCTGAAAATCCTTTAGGACTTTCATGGCATGATTCTGCTTGGATACCTCTATTGAATCCTTCAAATATAATGGATTACTTCTCTGAAAGGTCAAATCCGTTTTTCGATCGTACATGCAATAACGAAGTTGTGAAAATGCAACGTTTAAGTATGGATCAATTACAGTAAGTGTTTGGTCACAAATTGTAATTGTTTAATAGGTATATTGTATATAGCATATCATGAGCATTTGTTTCTTGAAAAAAACTATTTTCTAAATATCTTTTTCAGGAATATGACTGGCTTGGAATACATATTGTTACATGTCCAAGATCCAATTCTCTATGTTATTCGTAAACAGCTACGTCACAGTTCAACACAAGCAACACCTCTTGCAGATTACTATATTATAGCTGGAATTGTTTATCAAGCACCAGATTTGGCTAGTGTTTTGAACTCTAGATTAGTAAGTAACATAATAGTGCTGTATAACCCATAAAAAACTGTTTAATCAATTCCATATGTAAACATTTTTTTATTTATTGTTATAAATACGCTACTTATTTATTTGTCCATCTCAGTATTGCACTAACTCTCCATATAGTTTTTTTTATTAATTATCCAACCTATGGTGGGGTTGCCTGGAAGAGATTGCTGTTTAGCAATAAGGCACTTATTTGTTTACTCAATCTCTTCAGTAATAAGTTCCTATAAACTATGTACACCTTGAATAAAGTATATTATTAAAATGATTATTTCTTGTTAGTTTGTTGTATCAAGTTGTTGTTGGTAGCAAAAGAAATATTATAATGACTTTGTACCTAATCAAACTCAGGGATAAACACTGAAAATCAACATATTTAGTTTATTGTTACTAGCAATATGCTTATTACTATACTTTGAAAAAAATTTATATCAGAAATTGGGTACCTTTTGGTTTTTTTCCTTTTTTATATTATATTGATAATAATAATACTTAAATAATCACTTTTTGTTTTTAGAATAGTCATTTTAAGCATATTATTTATTGAATTATCTCTAAGAAAAAACTGTCTGTCTGTCCCTATGTATGTTAAGATCTTCAAAATTACACAATAGATTGTTTAGTTCAGGATAATAAACAATTGTTCAGGTTAGCAATATGTATCCTTATAGTAAAGCATATTACTTATCTTATTATTATATTTTTTAGCTATCTGCTGTACACCATTTACAGTGTTCCTTTGAGGAAACTATGTCATATTCAAGATATCATCCCAGTAAAGGGTATTGGTGGGACTTTAAAGCTTCAAAATCAGGTAATAATTTTCAAATAACCAATATTTTAATTGTATTATGTTTTGTGTCTTTATTAAAAATAGGTTTTAATGCAATGCTATTAACACTCCGTGAAGCCCACATCATCAGGGTCTAATCTAGCTAAATAGCCATTTTGGGCATAATAATATTCACCACCTAATACCTAAAGATGGCAATAATTAAAAAAATATATCCATCATCACTTATTCTTCAAGTATCTGATGAAATATAATTATTTATGGTGAATTTTCCTTAGGTCTTGGTACATTACACACCACTCAATCTGCACCTAAAGAAACAACAACAACTCCAAAAGAAGAACCCTCTACGTTATTTCAGCGTCAGAGAGTAGACATGTTATTGGCTGAATTGGTGCGACAATTTCCTCTTCCGGTTACACAAACGAGCACTAGTCAGGTCTGGTCTGCAGTCTTTTTTTATTGTTGTCTTTAACAAATTCACATAAAACTCATGAATTTGTTACCACCATACTTAATAATAATAATTTAATTCTCACCATAATAATCCTTTGAATTTCACGTGAACAACAGTGTATCACATAGCCGACTATGGTGGACTGAAATCAGTACAAAAGTAATCCCTGAATTGCAAGTAGTCTGTCTTCCATATCACTCATACTTACTACATATAATAACCTTTTACGAAGAGGTAACAAGATCTGTAGAAACAAAATTATATATCTGTGTTTATTTTGGTTAGATGTTTGGAATTCTGCAGATACCTGAAAAGCTAAATAAATAAACTTGAAAAGTTTCAAGACAAGTGCTACATCACTTTTTTAGTATCTAGAAAGCATCACTATCACCTTATAAAAAATTCAACCATTCAATTGCAAGGGAGGTAACCTAAATAAACCCACCAATATACAAAATCCCCAATAGCTAATTCACTGTGAAAACTCTGCCTATTTATTTTCACATGAATGAAAACCTATCGTAATAAGGCACTGTCTCCACGAGCGAGAGAATCGCAGCGATATTATCGTCGTGCCACGTATTTCTATATACTCTTTATGAACGCCACTCCGCACGGCGATTTATCGCGGCGATACGACGAGTGGCAATGTGTGTGCGTAATGTCGTCGTATCGCCGCGGTATCGTCGCTACTAGTGGCTCTCACGCCGCGCGCCCGTCGCAGAACGTAGCGCTCTCGCAGAGAGCGCGCGGCGGGCGCGTTTTTAAACGAAGCGTCATTTCAGCGTTGCCCTCACCAAACAAGGATGTGTGTAACGTATCGACAAGCTTTATTTATAAAAAATACATTTGTACAATGTTTGACATCGAAAAGTTTATACTTGAAGTGAGAGAAAGGCCTGCCCTGTACGATGTTCAGTTGCTTGAATATTCTTCTGCCAGCGTATCGTCACGACTCGTGACGGAATCGCAGCTTATCCGCGACGACTCGTGGCGGAATCGCAGCTTATCCGCGACGACTCATAAAGGAATCGCCAATACTTAGCTTTAAAGAAATTCCGTCACGAGTCGTGACGATACGCTGGCAGAATCGCTCATTCGTGGAGATTACTTGACGATAAAAGTGCGGAATCGTCGCGATTCTCTCGCTCGTGGAGACAGCGCCTTAAGTACGGCGGATCATACGCTTAAAATAGCATCCTTAAAAATATGCAGGACAATGCCGAATGAACCCTGCTTAAGTATATATGGCATCTGTTGATTTTTTTAATTCTTTTTTCTATTTATAGTCGAATGGCGTGACCGTCAAAACTGAAAACTCCAATGACAAAGGTGCAGAAAAATCAGCTGAGGTAAACTCTGTAGGCAACATAACTATCAAGCAAGAACCAATTGACACTAATCATCCAGAGAATTTGAATGGGAGCATGCAAAACCATATGGAAATCAAGACAGAAATTAAACAAGAAAATATGAAGCCACCACCCGAGAAAAAACCTAGAGTAATGTAGAAAATAGTAACCTACTCTACCCTAAATTACGAATAAATAGTTGTAATAACAGAAACGTACCTATGGTTATTCATCTTAATTTTAGACCTTCATTTCAGTAAATATAATGTAAATTAAACGGAACCTATAAATTAACTAACGCATCTAGTGCTGTGATATATCTTAAACAGCTATTTTTCACTTATTTCATACCAAACTTATACAGCAAAAAATACATTGTATTATAAAACTTATCAGCTTTAGGTTTCAGAGAAAATTTACTAAGAAATTGTTAAAACCGATTGATTTCTTATATTTTTACGTGCAATATCCATAAATAAAACATCTTAAACGGTTTCATCGCGTTTGTATTTAGTTTTATTGGTGTTACGGACGCTTTACAGGTTCCGTGTTCACATAAGTATATGCATAGAGTATCTTTTTATACTGGAAACATATATGGTTCACAGAAGAGTAAGGTGTTTCTTTAATGAGGAAGTATTTAAAAAAAACGAAAGCACTAAAAAACCACCTCCACTAGGTGGCGACTCTAGCAAAATTTTCTCATTATTGTTACAATATACTTAATGCAGGTCCTTTAAAATCCAAATTCAATCGTTCAAATGCAGTCGTTGCTTTAATTAGTTTTTCCTTCATTCTTTGCATACATAGGTTTTATTTCCGCGCAAACACGGCAAGCAGAAGTGATTCTTTTCACTTCTACAACAGAATAAGGAAAATTGTTATAATGAACAAAATGAATCATTCTTGTCACACCTGGGTGGCATAAAGAGTTGTGAAAGTCAGCGAGTTGGTTAGAAGAACTTTATAAGGGCACAGACACGCGGGATAACGCGTCTGCAGCTACATTTTGTTTGCCATAAATTGTCATATTTAAAACAAGATAGATCCAGACGCCATCGTTCTATCTTTTCATTTTTTTTCTTGCTTGAATGTGTTTTATTTAACATGAAAGATACAGGCTGTTGATCAGTGATAAGAATAAAGTAACGACCAATTAAATAATGACGCCATTTGCGAAGGGCTTCCACAATTGCACTCGCTTCTTTTCTATGGAAGGTTGGCGTCGTTCTGAATCATTTAGAGAACGTGTGAAAAATGCCACCGGACGGCCTTTCTGTGAAAGTGTGGTTGATATGGCAAATTCTGATGCATCAGTCTCAACAGTGAACGTTTCTTTTGAACGTTTCGATAGAAGCCAGAGATGATTGCGCAATTTCAGCCTTAAGTTTTGTGAAGCATTCTATTGCTTCTTTAGTTCACGACATCAATCTTCTTTTCAGATTGATGTCGTGTTCTCGCTTGTCTTTTCCGCAGACAGTAACATCATCTAAATAAGCAAATGTACCTTTTAGTTTTTTGGGGTTTGTAGGGTTCTTTGAAAAGCAGCTACACCATTGGTAACACCAAACGGAATCCGTGTGAACTGGTAAAGACTACTTATAACAGATAGGTAGTAGTGATAGGAGTTTGAAAAGAAAGGGCTCAAAGTCAAGGAAATAATAAAGACAATAATCTATAAAATATATACAAACTAAAATACGCAGCTAACTTACATGACAGCAGAAAGATCCAAAGAAAAGGGAGAATAAAATGTCAACAAAAAATATACTTCCAAAAATATCTCACCGGCCTGCTGGCCAGTTCATAACATCTCTCCCACTCTTTCAACAGTAACGGATTGAGGAGGGGGATGGACACCACAAAATGCCATTCAAGGCCTTGCAGTCATCACAGCCAGTTGCCAAAAATAGCAGGATAGCTGCACTTTCCCCAGTATTGGATACCGATGGGTTGATTACGCTCGACTCACGTATTAAATTTGCTCCTGGGGTAAGTGAGAGTGTCAAACGTCCGATAGTCTTGGATGGCCGCCATCACATTGTTCGCCTTCTAATACTTCACTACCACTACCAGATAGCTCATTCTTTCAATGAACTTGTCCTGAATGAACTCCGACAAAGATTTTGGATACTCAAAGCACGGGGAACTAAACGTAGCATCGCCAGCAGCTGTAACGAATGCAAGCGGTACAAAGTCCAGCCTACGGTGCCACAATCCGGGAATCTGCCATCTGTACGTCTCGAACACCACAAGAGACCATTTACCAACGACGGACTCGACTATTTTGGCCCAGTGGATGTAACTGTGAATCGTAGGCATAAGAGGCACTATGTAGCCCTGTCTTGTTACCAGAGCGTTACACCTCGAAGTCGTCGGATCGCTATCATTGAATAATAATAATAATTTATTTTGCTAGAAACATGGTTACATAGATGTGTGGCGACTGATATATAGCGACATCTAACTCATCGCACTAACATCGCCACAACAATCGATAGCGAGAAGACTAGCATTGTCACAGCCATCGATAGCAAGACGAACTGCAATAAATCTCAACAGCAAGTAACGAGATGGCGCTGTACCAATACAAACAGCATAAATTAATAACTACAAGACACTTAGAACAAAGAAACCTACATCACACAGAATAAGTTTAATTACCAATTAACATAAATAGAACGTCCAACCTACATCGGTTGGACCGCGGTCCCCGGGCTAACAACACCTAGCTCGGAGGGAGACAATTATCCTTTAGTCTCCCTGGCCAGTTGTCTCCATCACCACACGAGGGACCACACATTCAATCTTACGGTTCCTAAAGATGTTAGGATAGGGTACACTGGTCAGCATATTTCGCTAAATATCCAGCATGCAAAATATAAAAATGTCAAAGTTAATCTATGCTATTATAATTATTGAACACAACAAATAATGTAAAAATTAGTAAATTGTAAATTATGTCATAATCGAGTAGTATCAATATTAAGTCATTATTACTGTACATATTAAAGAATTTTTAGTTACATTAATTATTATTTATTCATAAATTCTTTAACTGAATAAAAGCATCTATCACAGAGCCATTCGGTAAGTTGCCTTTTAAAATAATTAAATGGAAGTTCTCTTATGTTCCTTGGAATTCTATTATATATACGAACATAAAAGAACTATTTCTGTGGTAAATGTCACTTACACATCTGGGTAGTAATAATTTGGTTGGGTCTCTAGATGGATACTCATTAAAACTGGTAGCTTTTTGGAATAAATTAGCATATTTTCTCACAAAAATACCTACCTCCAAAATATAAAAACCTGTGACTGTCAGTAACTTAAGCTTTCTAAATAAAGGTTTACATGAATCCAAAGGCCCAGCACCACATATTGCTCTAATTGCTTTATATCAGTTGAATTCCCCCACGCTATCAACCCATACCTCAGTGCAGATGCCACATAACCATGGTAAGCGGTAAGAGCAGTTTTTTCATTAGCTACTTTTCTCAATTTTTTTAATGCAAAGACAAAACGGTTGATTCGGGTACAAACTGCTTTTATATGGGCTTTCCAATTACATTGGGAGTCGAGTATCAAACCCAAGAATTTAGCCTCAGTCACCTCCACAATAATTTCACCATTACAGCGTATATCTAATGGTTTCCGTTTGTTTTTATAATTTGAAAACTGTACTAATTTCGTTTTTGATATATTTACTTTCAAACAATTTTGATCGAGCCATTGAGTCACGGATTTTATTGTTTCAGCTAAAATAGCTTGATATTTTGCATTTTTGTCTGTGTCTGGGATCACGACCGAAATGTCATCAGCAAAGAGGAAACAAGGTTGCTTCGTTACTTTTGGGATATCATTTATATATATAAGGAACAAAAGGGGTCCCAGTATACTTCCTTGCGGCACGCCAGCTTTATTTGTTTGATATGTCGACCTAAAGGAATTCTGTATATATTTTTCATCAATTCTCATGATCTCAACACATTGTTTGCGATTTGTCAAGTAACTAGAGATCCAATTTAGTGTATTTCCCCTTATACCATAGCGTTCACATTTATTTATCAACACTTGATGGTTAACCAGATCAAATGCCTTACTCATATCAAAAAATATTGCCGAGACACGCTCTTTATTATTTATAGAGTTCAGAATATTATTCAGTAGTTTGTAAACAGCAAGTATGGTTGATTTCTGTTTTTGAAAGCCATTCTGCTCCTCTACTATAACATTAAATTTGCCAATTCACCAAACGAGAATGCAATAATTTCTCAAATACTTTTGAAAATATCGGAAAATTCTTTCATTTCCAGCAAAGCAAGGGTAGCGCCCCTAAGTCCTGTTACTATTTCGCGGCTTGATCTACAAGTTGCTCTGATTGCAGCTAGGTTGGCGTCGTCGATATGTGCAGCCAACAAATATAAACCGACTCGTCGTCACTTTTGGACTGATTCTAAGAACGTGTTGGGTTGGCTTAAGAGTGACGTACGATCATATCTACCTTTTGTCGCACATCGCCTCGCTGATATCTTGGAGTTATCCTTTTAAGTGAATGGCATTTTGTGGTGTCCATCCCCCTCTTTCAATCTGTTACTCTTGAAAGAGGGGGAGAGATGCTACGAACTGGCCAGCAGGCCGGTGAGATATTTTAAGAAGTATATTTTTTTTGATATTTTATTCTCCTTTTTTCTTTGGTTTTTTTCTTGCTGCTGTCATGTAAGTTAGCTGCGTATTTTAGTTTGTATATATTTTAATTATTATCTTTATTATATTATTTCCTTGAGCTCAAAAAGGGCTCAAAGCCCTTTCTTTTCAAACTCCTATCACTACTACATATCTGTTAAAAAATATCAATAATGTACTTAAATGTGATTTAAGTACATTATTGATATTTTTTTCCATTCATAATGACATAACCTGTAACGGTGTGCCATCATGAATGGAAAAAAATATCAATAGTAATATAGGTCAATAGCATAGGCCAGTTCATATCACGAGCCGGATATAACAGATAGGTAGTAGTGATAGGAGTTTGAAAAGAAAGCGCTCTACATTATACCTATAATACAGAAGCTACTATAAAGTCAATACTCGAAAGAGGGTATGCATCTAGATCTGTAAATCTATTTATAGTCTGTGAGTAGACTACTACTAAACGTTTTCGATGATGTTCACCTCCTGCAACCAGGTCTTGCGCTCTCCATGGGGAGACACTAGGTTCTATAACTTTGTCTTTTAGGAGATTAGCGATTTCATTTGATATGAATGTCTGATCTTCTTC